GGGATGCACCAATGTTTCAACGGCAGACAAAAGTGTTGCAAAGCGCAAAACAATGCTTTGCCGCAATGGGCTGAAATACTTCTGTGCTTTTTCGATATGTACATGTGAACAGCCGCATTTGTCGGGTCACAGCTGCGAACTTTACTGGTGGTCACCAAAGTAGAGCAAGCGAGATTGTTTAGCTTCCAAATTCAATGCCACCTTTCACAAACGATGTTTTATTCAACACAGTAGGACTAACTTGTTTAGCGTGCTCCTAGTTTGAAAAGTTGCCTTACAAATTCTTACTCCTCAGGCTTTATTCCAGTCTCCTGCTGATCCCACTAATTTAGGTTGGCTGTCCATGCGAATGCACGAAAGATTGCCTTTTGTAAGGACCTCAGTGGACAAACCTTTGCTAGGTTTCTCCAACTTTCTGCTGTATAGCAGCAATCATCAATGGTAGAAAGGGATGGATCTGCTTCCCCTCATTTCGTGCACTTCATTTCTGGCCGGAAGTACTGCGAACGTTTTAAAGGATTGGCTTGATAGTGGAATAACTGAATGTAAGACGGTGAAGGTGCAGGACAATCACTTGATCCTCCTTTATCTTGCCGAGATCTTTTCTTACTTGCCTCACTGACTAACAAGTACTGTTTTCTCTCCCCCTTACTTTGTCGGAACTTTGTTTGTATATGACGACTTCAAGTTTCACTTACGTTGGAAGAGATGTTGTTTTACGGGAGAGTTGCTTGCCATTCACTCTGTCTCGTGCCATACCGATTGCAGCATCAGAAAGTGCGGTATGGTTTTTAACGAAAGGGAATAACGACTTCAAAACACTTAGACATAATCTTAATTTCCAGTGCTAAAGGATTTTAGTTTTAATGCACATACTTATCAGTTGGCTATGGAGAAAAAATTACCCGTTCTACGTGATCTCTTATGTACGCAAATTCTATCCAACTCTTGCTTTCGTTACGCGCCCATGAGTAGCTCATTTCTCCAGGTTTGAGACTGACCTACAGCTTTAAAGTTACGGTGGAACACTAATAACGTCTGCAAACAAACGACATTTAGAGACCCTTAGTGAAGGGCATTTTTAGCACGACTACATCGCGAACAGTTCTGTTGGCTGCGCAGATGATAATCCTTTCCAGTCCTAATTTCCCGCTCTCCACTGCCTCTAAACTAATGTCATTGTGACCCTTCAGAAAGAAGGCTTATTCAATTTTCATTTTCAGCCCCGCATTAGAGCACCTTGCGTTTCAGAGTCATTAGAATGTACAGTTCAAGTCTCACTAGGCATCTGCTCTATCTACCGTGTAGGACGACGTATATGCACCAAATTGAGGGCGGATACAGTTTGGCGTAGATTAACAGATTGAAATAGCTGCTTATTTCGGCTTTGGACCACATATGTAAACAGTCTCCTGGAAGTGATGTCGAATCGAACCGCTGAACTGTCCAAACTTGAACATCAGTTCGCCTATGAGGTGGACATTTGCTGATAAACAAGAAAATTTGTCCTTCCGTATGCATCATACTCCTAATAGGCTTTTAGCTGCTATTGTTGGCACACTCGATTACTATTTTAAGGGCTGAATTTGCATTCGAAAATTCTTCACACCTCGCATACAGTTAAAAGGAAGTCTTGCACTCTCAAGTTCTTTTCATGAATTGAGGATCTATGCTTGACCAAAATCTCGTCGTGGAATTTGCAGATAACTGAATGGATGAGTTAATAAGACCTGTAGGTGTTTCAATGCATTGAAAGCGTTTAACGAATTGTTTTGAGGCCTTTTTAATGTCATCTGTTGGTTTAAAAAATCCGTGAAGTTTGAACTTTGTTGCGAGGTTAAGTACTGTTCTGTCTTCTTTAAATCCTTAAATGTCATCAGCCTTTGGTTTGTTCTCCATTGTCCCTGTATTTAGGGGGCCTAAACATGCGTTTGACTTCAAAATCTGCTTCATATTTATCAACGCTGGTGCGGTCTGTGTCCGTCAAAACTTGGCCAACATCTGGAACTTTAGAAAAGAGTATTATCAGCTCGAAAGAACCGTCATCAGTCAAACTACTGTTCTGACACTCAACTCCATGAACGTTTGGGAGTTCCAAATGACCGCAGAATAACTGCCTCCAAAGTCCATCACCCGCAGTATTCTATTCAATTTTGGGCAAAAATTTGCGGAGGTTAACCCATCATCATCATCCTTCAGGTACTCTTTCGCCATACGAATCTAATATTTTTTTAATGCAAACTTGCGCCAATTTTCAGATCAAGACCATCTCACACATATTAAGTTTTTTGTGGCACATCATACTTAGCAAATTAGTTTAGCAAAGATGAGATGTTATCAAAACTTTTTCACTTAATGCCCTTTACTCTCTTATTAAAGGATTAGCAATTAGTCGAACTTCAACTGTGGAGCCGTTCTCGACTCTGACGGTAAGGGTCATTCGTTCATGAACACGTCCTCAATAAGCCTAACCAAGGCTCAGGATTTTCCTCCTACCATCGCTTGTGGTAGTACGGAGGTAGTCACTCTGACCTGCGCACAACGTCTTACGAGGTATGGAATCAACGACTTCATCGACAAGACCCTGAATCAGCGTGCTCATGTCCTCGTTCGGATTCCTCATCCAGATTTTAGGTCTGTCCACCTATAGCCTAAGTTCTTCAACCCTCAAGATGTCAAGCGACTACCTTGGACTCCTCCATAACCCTCTAAATCATCATAGTCGGTGTTGTCGGTAGATCCTCCGCAATGAAGGCCTTATTCAGCCCTCGAAAAACGTGCTTGTCTGACTTCTCAAACAATATATAGGAGGTGTTAACGACTCCTCCAACTTTCGGTCTGAAAGTCAAATAATATACATGCGTGACTTTGGATCTTCGAGGCCAGTATCACTAGTGGTGGCAACAGTCATCTACTACCTTCTCTATCTAAAGCAGTGACTGTACAATGAAGTTCCACTGGATTTTTACGTTGTTTCACGAAGTCCCACCTGTAGCGTCCCAAGGCCTCCTGACCGGTATAAGAAGTCAATGAGTGGAGTTGGATACTTATATTCTGAAGACAACAAGACAAATTGGCCTGAGCATGGCCCGAAGGCAAGCCCATGTGTACAAGGCCAGACAATTTTCAAGATGACCGCCAACCATCAGGTAGTCACGTAAAGCGTTACACCACCATCTATCTACTTTCTAGAAATGAACATCTGCAGTGGACATCTCATCCTACTAGTTCACATAGTTAACTTATCATAATAGCTTTGACGACTTGGATTTCTTCTCTAGGAAGTGGAGATGAAGTAAGTTTTTCTTGCTTCCTATGACTAGGAGCCCTTAGATAGATTACCTTTGAGGCAGAAGAATGATTAAGTTTCGACAACTTAAAACGAGCGAAGTGAGACGTCCTTCCAACACTAATCCCAACTAGTATATCAGGATTTGCTTTTTTAAAATTGTTGTTGTTGACCAGTTCTGACCAGATCGCCTTGCCAAGCATTTGCAAAACAGTAAGGTCTTCAAACACAAAGTGATTTTGATCGAGCATCTCATATTCAATCTGGATTTTCGATTCGCTTTGGGTGCTTTTGAGAATCTGAAGACAGTGCTAGAGCTATATACTCAAAAAAAGGATTCTTTCTGAATGCCTTCGAAGTTAGCGGTGACCACAGCATTGCTGTGAAAATGGTGTCTCCGATAGAGCGTACCATGGAATGGCTGCCTGATTGACGGCTCCCTTTCGACAATGTCTAGATTCCTCTCTGCTATTGAACAAGCTTTAGACCTCTAAAAAATAATTTATAAGGTGCTCTGTGCCTGTAGTCTGCCGTGATATAATAGGTAAAACCGTATTCCTTCAGTGATTAAAGGAAAATCCAAAGGTCAGTTACCCTAAGGATCGGAGCGTTCCAGATTTCATTTAACGCCTTGAGTACGGTAGCAGGTGGATCAACCCGAGTTAAATAGATGTATGCGACCTGACTTCTTATGCACAGAGTACTCAGTAGAATTACCCTCCGATGTATAAGTCTGTGTTCGGTCCCAGCTCCCTGTCCAGTCCTTATCACCTCATTCTCTTAGACAAGCAGATGTGAAATTACTGGACGATACCTGCTATTTTATCGATACGAAGCTGATGTCACTTTGATTTACTAACGAAAATAAGGATTGCAGCATCAGTCAAGAGGAGGCTGCGCCAAGGTCATTTCAGACACTTTCGAGCCCACATGTACACGTTCGTAGGTGTGCGCAAAGACCGCAGTAACACATTCGACGCCGATGTCGCCTGCTTATTAGAAGCTGATTTTCCTGCTACAAAACTATGCTGCAAGAATGTGTGCTCACTACGAGTCTACTACTGTGCCGCAGCCTGATTGTTTGATGCGATAAAGTAGATGTAGTGTAACATTGGTCCGACAAGGGTAACGCGCTATCCATTTTTCGGGTGACAGAACGTTAACTACGATGCAGGACATCTGGAGGCTACATGTGAAATGCCTTCGCAACAAGGTATTGGAAGGAGACCTATCACGGGCCAAATTTCTGAAACGTATCACCAAACACAGCTCCATATTGGCATTATCGAGGGAACATTGCGAACACGAAAATGCACACTCCTCTATCCTGAATCCGGTCATGAACTTGATTTCCAGAAATAGGAAGTTACTTAGTAATTAGGGCTATTATGTCCTTTGTTCACATGTCTGCCCTCGCCGAAACTTTTAGGCAAAAAGGAAACAGAGCCCCAATTCAGATGCATTTGAACAGGAGTAAGGCAGTTAACAACATTTGGCGGGCATCGGCTCCAATATTTTGGAAAAGGGTTAATAATTATCCTTATCATAGTTGTCGTACTAAAGCAGGAGGCTAATATGATTGACCTCTCTGGTATGGACGATAATGTTTGCGTGAAGGTAACTTCATCAAGAACGATGCCAAGTTCACCCGCCATGATTGGATAACAAAAAAAACTGCTAAACCGTATCAATAAGGCTACTCAAGCATGACCTAGTCCAAATTTCCTATTTCATTCTTTAACTTACCACCAACACTAAGAGAAAATTAAAAAAAACACTTTACCTGTGCGGAAAAGTTATGAGTACAGTTAACACTAAAGAGAATATTAGGATATGCCTCCGCAGGTGATTCCCATAAATTCCAACAGAGAAAATCCCACCAAAATCTGCGGCTCCAACGGGAATTCAAGCAATCATCTTTAATATTTTATTGTGACACAGCTGTAGACAGTTATAACAAAGTCGAATATTTGTGTAAAATTTGAGCTAAACGAAGTGCGGAGTGGAAATTTAAGCCGTACTATTCGCTGCATCACCTACAAGCAAATAGTAGCACTACAATTTACTTTAAGCATTTAAGTAGAAAATATAAATAACCTGCCTGCGGGTTGTACGGTCTCAGAGGACGATTTTTGATCGTTAAACATGAACTCATCCTGATACTCCTTCAAGAAGAGTGTAGAACGCGCTTCGTCCATAAAGAGCTGGTACACCTTACGAATATCATCCTTATTCACCTCAATACCCTAAAAAGGGATTAAACGCGCGGATAAAGTGGTCCAGTGACTGCCCAAAACCAAGACATCAGCCAACCTTACGGCGCCTACAGACGAGACTGGCTGTGGTGATAAGCTGGATGGCGTAGCGCAAAGAAGTTTGCATTCCAATTCGTGTGAGCACCACAAGAGCATCCTCGGCAATGTCGACGTCCTCCTCCTCACACCGAATCTTCAAGATGGCCTGAATCTCCTTTTCATCGTAAGTCTCCGTGCGCACTATTAGCAGGCGGTCCAGCAAATCGATCGGAATGCCATGTGGACTCTTATAGTTAGTTCCGCGAATGCTACAAGGATTGAGTTGAGATGAAAATACGCCGCATTCAGAATGTAAGGACTACAGACACAAGCTCACGTTGTAATTCCACGATTTGTGGCCATTATGAGGATGGGAGCCATATCCGATTCGAGGGCCCGGTTTAGAAAGGAAAAGCACTCAATATCGAGCATGTGAACTTCATCGATAAACAGAACCTGAGAAAAAGCAGGGATAAGGAAGCGTAAACCTTACACCAGGAACAATATCAGCCTTGCCCTCCTCGCGCCACTCGACAACTTTCGCATTAATCTGATCCCGTACCTCCGATTTGATTTCCCCAGTATCACCACTGAAGAGGGCCAAGAAACCTTGTGTACGGCTATTTATTACGTCTATTTCGTGAAGAGTGACGGTATGAACAACTTCCTTCCGCTTCTGCAGTTCGCCCTCAGGGCACTGGACAAATTTCGTCTGCATTCCAGTGGCATCAAAATCCCGAGCTCGTGCAAATGAGCGACCCAATTTTGTGATTTTACCAGAAGGCTTATCAATTGTGATAACATCACTAAATGGCAAAATCAGGAAGATGCTATGTTGCCTACCCGGCTTGAATTTTTTCCTTTACAATGCAATCGATCATCTTTTGACCCAAGTCATAGACCGTCTCCATCTCTGTTGTTTTAATGCTTAGTTTGCCAACTTTAGCACCTGTTCCAGTGGCAGGCCGATCAATCATAACTTCCACAACTTCACCTTCAATAATTTCAGCTTCTTCTCTTATAGACAGCATGAAAATTACACAAGACTTACTTGATACGGATTCCAATTGACTTTCGAAAAGCCTGTGTAAGTGCCTCCGTTTTGCTCATCTCAAGAGAATAGATTTCGCTTCCTGCCATGGCAGTAAACGGCGTATCACGACCGAGAGCTTGTGCCATACCCATGGCAATAGCCGTCTTGCCGGTACCAGGTGGTCCAGCAAGAAGAATAGCACGACCGGCAATTTTACCCTCACGAATCATCCCAAGGATGATACCAGCAGCTCTACGAGCTTTCAATTGGCCCACCATACCCTGAGAAACCTGTCGAGCGTCCAATTCATCATTAAGTCCAAGACCTCGTATGTGTGAATGGGCACCAATACGCTCAATACGTGTAATGTCTCTAGTAGCCGCCTCTTGAAGACTTTTTTGCAGCTAAAATAAAGTAGAAACAGTCAAAAAATGCAAAACTGGCAGAAGACACTGCCAAAACCGGGATACAACGTACACCAGACATGAGTTAAAACCGTCACACTTATGAATAGCAGGCAACTTCAAGTATTTGAAGTGTACAAACAACGTCCGAGCAGTAAAAGTGCTGGTAAACATATAAATGCTACACACTTTACAGTATTGATCCTTTTTAAGCGTGTTATATCCCTAAAAAATAATTCTTCAAAATGCTTTAAGCTAAACTTGGAATAAACATTTTGAGGCATTCCGAATTTTCGTCAGATATAAGACTTCATTACCTTAATCAACAGTCACACAGTTCACTGAAAGCTATGTATTCGCAACAATTTCTTGCCAATTCAAGTACCAGAGGAGACTATTCGCAACAAAAGCTTCTTTTTCAAAGGGCATGCGTCGACTAATGGATTCACCTACTTAACCGATATTGGGTTCGATTTAAAATGTTAATAGTATTGTAAGTAGGCAGAATACAAGTACTCTTTGAAGAGAAAATAGGATTATAAGTTGGCTTAACCTGAACGATAGCCTACGCGTAGATAGGACCGGCAAAACCAAAGTAAGCGCAGGATATCAACTTGTCACATAAATAAACATTAAAATATGCGCCTCCAACATTGAAAAGAGACGTCTTTCCACTACATACTAGCGATTTCAATGTCCTGAAATATAGAGCAAACCAGAGTAAGTGTGAAATTCGACGATACTAAAGTAAGCACCCGCAATATACCTTACGTTTGCTACTTGGGATAGCTTATCTGAATGCATTAGAACTTTTATTGAGCAGAAAAAAGTATCACGTTGACCGGAATACACGCACCCTAAAAAGGAGGTGACAAGGACTTGGCACGTCTCGAAGCTCAGTTCATATGCACAAGAGCAAAACAAATCGCCAAAGTAACCGCCAAACATCAGGTGGTCAAACACACAAAGTACAATACTGCCCCTCTCTCCTTTTGAGCCACGCCCATGACACCATCATTGGTGTAGAGACCACATGTCTTTCCTCTGGTCCGTGGTCCTCAGATTTCAAGAGGATGTTGGCTGCAGAGGCTTTATTAGGCATAGTTATTAGGAAGGATAGAAATGTGATACAGATGAGCAGATTTGGAGATATTGATCAGAGGGGGACGCCTCGTCAAGTTCCTACACGTGAGTTCCGTTCACGACTGGTCCCCGCCTCTCATCTACAAAAGTCCACTTAAACAAACTAGTATATATTACACTTGGTGCACCTTCGGCACAAACCATCGGCTATCATGAGACTACCAAACAGTATTTGGTCGCTATAGCAGATTTAACTAAACCTGGATTTGCGTTCGGTCCGAGAGCAGAAATCATGGCGATAAATTTATTCCGACCATCAGTGGAACACGGAGACAAGGCAGAGACACACGCAGACACCATTCTCAGCATTTCTGTTATAAAGCAAGTAAGGGTTTCCTCACCCAACCTACATGCCCATTAATCGCACTGTAGATGCATGTCACAAACAGTAGGTTCAAGGATAGAAGTCGTTAAAAGTCAAGTTCGCTTTCCACTCCCCCCAGCGGAGCTTGCCTAGACTTCCCAACAAGTTGGCGAAGGCTTCACGTTAGTCAGAACACATGTATTCTAAGAGGAGAAGAAGTGGTCGAGTCCTGACATGGTCCGAAGGCCGGTTCCCACCTACAATTGCAGAGCGAATGTTAAAGCAGCCATCAAATATCAGATTGTCACATAAACAACGCGTTCCAATTATAAAATCGAATTATACGCTCCCAAAAGCGTGCAGATTCCAAACGATGTGCTTGTAGGATGTGTAAATTGAGGTATAATTGCCTTCGGGACAAATCGGCCCTAGGTCTCGATCAAAAATTTCATGAACCATTTTAAATCAAATATCCTGAGATGGTAAACGAATCAAATCAGTCCACTAACTCCAATATTGTGGGCATATTTAGCTGTAGCGTTCGCTTTTTTAAATAGTTTAATCGCGTGCATTAATGCTCTTTAGTTTATTTATACCCGAAATTCTTTCCCATTTTTGAATGCTTCACATAATTGTGGGACCTGTTCGGTTGTGGGCGTCCTTTTCTCATATATACAATAAACGCTAAGCCATTCGAACCAAATCTTAGCCACATTTGATGTTAGCTGCTGCCTTTTCAAGGTCGTAAGGTTAATGGGACTCAAGTTTTGGCTTTTGGTGTATGCATAGGTTTGATTAGTGTTTTAGGATCCTGAGTTAGACTTGTTTTTTGGGCATGCTTTGGTAACTGTGTTCCAAGAGTACAAGTATTTTTCAGCTCTAAAATACAATTGAGGTAGATTTTTTTGTTCTGGGGTTTCTCTCAGTTGAGATTTTTATCCTACCACTGTATTATTCTTTCAAAAACTACGTTGTGCTCGGTTCTAATTTGATTCGTTACCTATAGTAAATCTTTAACTATCGCCAGTCTGCCGTGTTTCCTCGATTTAACTTTTGATTCACACAATTGGTTACTAGTGTGGAATAGCCATCCTTCTGTGCTAGTCTACCATGGCGGAGATTTCCCGTTATGAAGTATATTGGGAATTTAACTTGTACTTCGTAACAACCAATACTGTTGTCGTCAAAGTTATCGAAACTCGTACTCAAGACGCATAGCTTGCATAAATAGATCGTAGGTGTGTGGATCTCTTCGACTGGGGTATTTGTGGTCCTGCGTCCATTTTCGTCGACCCATCCAGCGTTCATGGCTGTGCGTGCTTGTTAAATGCTTTAAGGCAATCATTTACAAGTTGGCTGTTGACAATCGTAGCTTTCTTCCTTGCGTTTTGTACCTTTCTTAATGGTGTCTGGTAGTACCTCGCCTTTTCTAATACCTTTTTTTTGCTTTTAGAGGCTCGTTTCGCCTAGTCTGATATAAAATTGTGCATTTAGTCCCATAATTTTCAATGTGTGAAGCGACCTTCAAATTCACTCCACCCCCCGAGGCACCTGTTTTCCGTCCAACGCTCAAGGAGTTCGAAGATCCCCTACTCTATCTAGACAAAATTCGCCCTGTAGGAACAAAGACCGGCATTTGTAAAATCATTCCACCTAAGGTATTGTCAATCGATTTTGGAGTTTATCAGACCTTCCAGGGTTGGAATCCCCCATTTGCTGTGGATGTGAACACTTTTCGTTTTACTCCAAGGATTCAGAGGCTTTACGAGCTTGAGGCACACTCGCGTCTTAAGCTGGATTTTATTGGCAAACTTTATCAGTTTTTCCGTCTTCAGGGCATGGAAAAACTCAAAATTCCCAATGTTGGGGGTCAATATCTTGATGTCTACTGGCTTCATAAGCATGTGATAAATGCTGGGGGCTATGAGAAGGTGAATTCATCCAAGCTCTGGTCTCAAATGGCCGAGCGTTTAGGTTATCCAGGCGGAAAATTCGCCATGGCTATGAAGACGAACTATGAGAAACTCCTACTTAAATATGAGCTCGTGGTTACTGCTCACTCCGCTTCTGGCGGAAGTGGGAAAAGATCATCAAATTCGGGCGATGTAAAAGCTATTCCAGCTAAAAGGACTCGTCTACATGCTCAGGAGGTGAGGTTATCTTTGCTGATGGACTTTTACTTCTTGTAGGATGATACAAAAATTGATTACACGGCTAGCAAGGAACTAAAAAATCTCCAGTTTTTCGGCGCAGGACCTAAAACTGTGGTGCCAATTGGAGAAATCGCTGCATCACTAAAAGTCAAACAAGAAAGTGTGCGTCGAGTGTTGACTTTGTGTGCTACAGTTCAGTCTCTTATTACCCTCGGGTGGTCAGATTTATTCAGTATATTTTGACTCAGTTGGCCAGTTTTTCCACCGTTGTTTTAGTGCTACTCCCATTTGCTCATTCTCTTTTTTTTAAAGTTTTGCACCTGGTCGATTTACTGATTGGCCTCATTAACAACTCCTCTATTTGTCTGTCTGGATGGAATTTACTCTCAAGGGGCATAATAAACTGGCACTTAGCATATCTAAATTTCACCTTGCATTTACCATCAAAGTGTTTTATAACATAAAAATGATGGACCATTTTAAGGGACCCCCATGATTTACGCAGTCATTAATAAGCAAATGACCGCCTTTATCGGAATGAGATTGCATTGCTTACAAACCTCCTGATATTTTCTAGAACGCGACTAAATCTACTCACAGTCAACATTAATGATTTTTCAGTTCAACATAGAAGTGCTATAGTTACAGAATCTTCAGCATAGCAAGAATGTGATCATAACGATGGGTATTTAGCAGTAGGTGTTGTTTAATAGAAAAACGTTTTGAATTTTCACATGTGAATTCACGCGCACTGAAAGGATGGCGTTTTAGTTCGGTAAACTGGTGCTTTGGAGGGACCCATTGTGTCTTACCTGATTTGTTTTGTCATCGTAGCCAACACTATAGATTCGGAAAGTTGATCTTGTTGAAAGCTGTGGTAGGCTCCGCGGTATTCTTTTTAACTGTAAAATTTGGAAGTCGAGTCTAGATTTGGGAAGTTCGGCTACTTCATTCGCATGATTTGCAGCTGGTTGTGGGAGTTCTCGCGGTTTTCATCTACTACCACGTACACTGTTGGAAAATTGTATTTGAAAGATGCGACAAATATTGCCGGGTTTTGGTGTGAAACAACCTCGATGCCTTTCGTAAAGCCATCTGGTTGGAAACATTCAGTAATCTGAACAATGCAGAGTAGCTCCATGGTCTTCCATCTTGATTCCACATTGCCAATTTCTGTTAGTGTCTAGCCATTCTTTTGGGATGAATTATGACCTTACTGCCAAGGAAGTCTAACCCTTCACTTCTTTCCCACCAATCGGTGGTTTGTATATTAATCCTTTGCCTCATTGCTACCCTTACCTCAGAAGCAAGGATTTGGTGTTATTTTGCCTATTTTTTGAATTCAGTTATTCAGAGATAATATTTTCCCGCATTAGCAAATGGACAAGCGATTTCCCTAGAAAACGTATCCGAAATGTCAGCTCATAACTCAGAAAGAGTGGTTGTGATCACACAAAGACGTCTCCTGTCGATAGTTTTCTTCATTATCCCCACAGACTGGTGATTACTTCTGCCGAGTGTGCGGTATGGGTAACAACGAGGCGTTCTTGCTGATCTGCTCCACCTCATCATGTCAGGCTTGCTACCACACTTATTGCCTTATGCCACCACTAGCGGGAGTACCGCACTACCAGTGGAAGTGTCCTGAGTGCGTCCGATCGATCTGCTCCCGTCCAATGGACTCCTTCGGTTTTCCCCAATCATCTAAGTCCTACACTCTCCACGAATTCGGCGTCCGTGCTGACGCCTTCAAAGCCAAGTACTTCAGAAGGGAGCCCAGTGTGCGTTTCAAATCTACTTTAGATGGATCTGTTTAAATGTCCATCGAATCTAATTGGTTTTCTGTGCTCTAATCTTGTGCCCGAGGGGATGCCATAGTTACCAACATAAGCTCAAAGGTGTTTTAGCTTTTTGCTAATTTGTGAAATTGATAGCGCTTCTATTTCAAATCCCATGTCTGAGTCCAATGAACGTGCTGGTTATTTGGAAGTTGAAGCTTTTTTCGGCGTGGCTTATTACACCGACTTTTAAAATGTGGTTGTTTACACTCATCACAAAACACGAGTATGTGCTACTCCGTTGTTAGTACCCTGCCGTGGTTTCTGCATTTTTCTGGGTATCTGGAAACCCTCAATAAGTACATTCCCTCATGGAACTACTTCGCTGGGATGTTGAAGATCGTACTAGTCAACAGTGGTCCTGATAGAGCCCCCAACAGATGAATTACCATTTTGGGAGAGACTCAAAATCTATTATGGATTGCAATGTAAAGTGTTTCAACGAGCGAACTGTTGGAGCAGTCTTGATGAATATTTCTGCTCTCAATTTTGTCGCATTTGATTGTCAAATTGTTCTATTAACCTCTTAAACTGTTGTCATTTTGCTTAAGAGGGAATACGCACACTTACGCTTTCAATTCTCTTTCCACAATAAGATTTGTGAAATATATTCTGCGGTAAGCACATGGAATAATCATTAGGTGCGTTCGTTTCACTTTAAATGTTGAATGAATTCTCCCTTGATGTGGATTTGAAAGGCATTTTATGTCTGTCGACACATCGACAGTGTGCATAACTTATCCTATCGTTCCTTTTTTTGGTCCTGAAGGTCTACACTTATTACGAATGCATTGGCTCTCACATTGTCTTACGTATCCATGCCCGCCTTTCTAATCTATCTGAAATAGGATTGAGTTTTGTTCGTAATTTACCAGCTGTTAATCCCATACTTAAGTGTTCATGTGTGCCTTAAAGCATGAATGTCGATTTGGATCCTCCTGAAGTCAGGAGGATGTTCTGCAAATATTAAGTCGTAATGATATCCAACCTCTTCCAACACAAAGCCCTTGTATCAGACCAGGTTACACAGCTTTACTCTTGTTCACTGGTCAAATGCACACCGTGACGTTGTCAGCACACCATTATTGGTGTCATTGTGACGCACCCAATTGTGTTGGCGACTTTATGCTCGAGTAGAGATTTGCCGTTTCCTCCACTGGCATAACAATAGCTGTTACTAAGTCTCGAACTTTTTATACTGTTGTAAATTGAAAACAGCGATTGAGTAGGTGTGACTTTAATTAGCACTTAGGCTCTCTACTTGTTGATTGCACCTCCCTTTAGTTATCTGTCACGCCTGCAAAGCATACGTTCATATGGGCGAATTGATTACTAAAGATACTTTCCTGTTTCATTCTCTGTACTTAAAGCTAATTGCGGTTTTCTATCAGCCTCTTAAAATGCCTTACGTTTAAGCATTTGCCTCTGTCATTTAGCTTGAAAGCACTTCATCTTGTTTTTTTTAGGTCGTCAATTAGTGCAATGTCGCGAAAATCGGTGTTTAGGTAACACTGGGAAATAACTTTCTTCTTGAGCCGATTCGCTTGTAAATTTCATTTCTCTTATTGTTGGACAGATTCGTGGAGACCATAGACTTTAGAAGGATCGTCGGTGTTATTGAACCTTTTTGGGAGGCCATGCCTCTCCAGTTGCAAATTTTTCATGTTTTTTCCTATAGCAAGCATAACTCCATCGTTTTGTTTCATATGTTGCGCGTTGATCTGACGCTCAGTGTTAGGTGGGTGTCCCACACCAGGTAGAATACCTACAATAATGGTCATACTATGAACGAGGAACCACTAGAGCGTGAGATATTTGAGAGGGGTGGCTATCCTCGAAATGCGGGCACAGTTCAAATGCCTTGTTGTTGGCCTTGTCGGGAGCTTTTGGTTTCAAACTAGTCTGCGCCAAATCTTCCGCGTTACAGTCAGTGCCGTGCGAGGAAGTGGAGCAGGAATTCTGGCGCATCCTTCAGGAATATACAGAGGATGTGGTGGTAGAGTATGGTGCCGATGTCCACGCCAGCGATCAGGGCTCTGGATTTCCCACTGAACTTCAGCTAGCTCGAGCACCCCACCTCTTTGCCTCTGCTGAACAGAGACGTCAGGCCCTTGTTTACGCTCAAAGTCCCTGGAACCTCAACAATCTCCCAATCTATGGCAAGTAGGTTTTTCATCTTGCAATTTCCTCTCCTGTTTATACCCTCGAAGCCGGAGTCGTGGATGAAATTGATGAAGCATGTTGTGAAAATTGTCACTAATTGACAGATCTCTTATCGATGCTTCGCATCTATAAACCGTTCATACGTCGGCTTCTACATTCCCATCCTTTGATCTATTTGTCGATTACTGAGCCCTTTCTTATCTGACAGTCAGTGAGGTTCTTACTTCATCAGAATGTTGTTGATCGTACTTCATTATCGCATTTCTTTGGGGTAATTTTATATGTGTATTGTGTAGGTTTGGATAGGGTACTCCAACCCACTGGGCCGACTCTGCGAAACAGCCTAAGCGATTTTTGGTTTTAAGTTTGTAACTTTCCGAGCCTTTTCAGAAGACGTAGCAAATCATACCATGAGGGATTTGCTATTGGAACTCTGAAGTGCTGAAAGACTATATGTGGATGGAGGTGTGGTTCGGCGGATTGACAGTACATCCCACAGAGACCACAGAATCCATCCAGTTAACTGCCTATGTAGTAACTCACTTCCGTATCGTCCTTAGTGTTCCTTTTTACGGTTGTGTGAGCTGAAGCTAGTTTTGACACCATGATTTTTTGCGCATTTTGCTCCCCTTTAATTCCTAGTAAACCATAAAGGGAAACGGCGCTGTTCAGACGTTGCCCTGAGACGGGTTGGTCTCTCCTATTTGAACGTATGGTAAAGCACATATGACATTAGGAGAGTCGTATGCCTTTGCATGACTTTGTCGACCTTTTGGAGCTAAACCGCGTGTTGTTCGCTTCGGAACATTTGAATTGTGTTAAAGTATGTACACTCATCGAATATTGGTTCAGAGTCTCGACTTCACCCTCCTCAGCACGTTTGTGGCCATGGTCTTAGGGACAAATTGCGCCTCATAGCTCAACTGGCATCTCTTCTCTCTGAAAAACGAACACGGTAGCTATTTGTATAAGCAGATTTGATGACTGTTCCACGCTAAAGTAATCGATAGCATCACAGTCCTCTCACCATCTCATTCTGCTTTAGCAATAGGAGTAATTGATTTCCTTCCTAGAACTTCGTTTCATTACTGCCTCTTATTTTTACAGTCTGTTGTTCGTGGGGACTAGTGACCTAGGTTTCACAGCACGCTCAACCTAACAATTAATGAATATTTTCCAAGACCTACAAGTCTGACGGCTAGATGATCGAAACTGCCGATACCCGGAGCTGAGTCCATTGTTCAGCTCAAGGGCACAGAGTTTTAGTGGTAGGTAGACCTTGGTCTCAGAGACGAATTCCAGGTTATTTACGGAATGGTTCGCTTCGAGAACTCTGAGCTGAAACTTTCTTGCTGAGGTTATAGGCATCTCTAGCATTCACATGTCACAAATGCATGTTTGTTCTCTCACTGATATTAGTGGTTTTTTCATGAATTTATATTCTTCCATCCCACCCACTCGAGCGGAAAATCGACATTAATGGATTTGACAATGCGCGGACCAGATTTTGGAGTACTCAACCAGCCTATGCATTTGTAGTCCTATGTGAAACATTTGCCTCTTCACCTTCATTCAGTGCCTCAAAAGTCACGGATGCTTGGTTCATCTCGACCATTCTGTTGGGCCCAACTTTCTCCTAGGCTTTGGGTGTCCATATTATTTTCTCCTCTATCCTAATGTTACATTTTGCTTTCGTCCTCTTGTGTCTACCACCGTCGCGTTATTATGTGAGTGGCTTCGATTTATCTTGGCGCATGTCGAAATGGCTCATTGATCCCTCTGTGTCCGTTGTCCTTTTAGCTCGGTTCTTCGTTTCATCAAGGGCAACGTGGATGGAATGAAGGTGCCTTGGTGTTACGTAGGCATGGTCTTCTCCACCTTCTGCTGGCACATCGAAGATCACTGGAGCTGTTCCATAAACTTCAACCACTGGTAAGTCTTTTCATCCTCTCTTGATTTCTTTTCCCAACATTGATATGCTAAATTTGAAATGTGTATTTTGTAGACATATCGTTTTTCAACTGATTTAAATTTTCCACTTTATTGGTTTCTTTCTTTGCCATCATTTCATGGCAATGAATGCCGGACTCGAGTTTCTACCTTCCACATTTATTCTTTGTCTTTAAACAATTTTGATATTTTTGTTACATTTTGAACAAGTTGAATTACGAACCGACTTATGATCACTACTGCTGGTACAGAAATTGAAACCGATTACAAAGGAGCCTTTCCACAACCTCCCTCTTCCTCTTTGAAACTCGTGGCCACTGATTCCAAGAATGCGTGCTAGTATCATTGAACAACTCCGTCCTGTGTTGCGCTCATTATTAGGCTTTTTTCGTTTTCCTTAATTCCTCCCTTTTCAAACCATGTACTTCACCTTTTACTGTTTTTTTTCTTTCCTTAATTTCACTAAAATACATAAAATACTTGAGTATTGGATCATTCTTCTTTCAAACCACGGCAGTATTTTTCGCCGTTGGCATGCTTTCCATTCTGTGAAGAGCCCCCAACACTAAGCTTATTAGATAAATCCCTTTTTGAGGTTCTTCATCAATGTTTGTTATGACTCCAGTGCACTGGTCCCTTCTCGCACTCTGCTATTCATACTTTTATCCATCCACAAAACATTGCATTGACTCCAAGCCCACTCATTGTTCGAGAAGCATGGATCGCCTTTTGCTATTTCCGTGTTGCAAGTTGGGCTTACAAGTTGTCGACCTCATTTGCGAATTTTCATCGAAAGTGAACTTGAAAGTTGGCCTCATCGCTATAATTCTCTTACAGAAGAGGCACTTCCTTCTACTGCAGTAACGCGTCCTAATAGAATGAATGCCTACTTGATAGGGAAGCTAGGATCGTATTTACTCCACTTCTCTTCGTTGCGAAGTCACTATTCCTGTATAAATTGCATTTACCATTTGTTGTTGTTGATTTTATAGCATAACTAAATAGTGGTCATCTTCAGTCTCCACGGCGTGGCGTTTGTCATACGTCGTCCAGATCAGTTTGACAAGTTATTTAATCCGTTGTAGCCTTGGCGATACCGTAAGGGTATGGAAAAACTAAAAACGCCTTCTCTACTGAATATTCTTCTCAAATTTTGTTCCCTTTATTTATAGTTTGCAATCAGGTCGTTACGCATTTTGAGTTAGTCATCGGGACCCACACACTAGTGAAATTAAGGTCAAGCTGGGTCAAGTGAGGTGAAGGAGCCAGCTTAACCAACCATGTCTCTTGCACACTTGCTACATCAGACACAGGGACAGGAAGAAGTACAAGACTGCACAAGGAGTCATCAGAGTGGTCATAGAGACATGGGGTGTCGGTAAACCGCACTTATAATTACCCATTTGATGATTAATCTGTTACGACTGTAGACCTTAGAGGTGTGGTGTATCCAATACAGCAGGTGAATTCACCATTTGACAGAGTCAGAAATATAATTCTATGAAAGGAAGAAGACTTAGATTTCCAGTCAAATTAAGCAGCCATCTTCTTTTCCAATTAAATTAGTCTTTTTATTTGAAATAAGCGAATTAAACCCGGTGTCCGAATTTCGGAGAACCGGGAGGCCTAACGCAGTTAAATAGGCAACTCTAGCTGATTTTGCTCCGGCATGATAGGCTCCCAAATGGATAATTCGGTTAATGAGCTAAAGCCTTCAAGGATTCACGAATTTTGCCACAATTGCGTAAAGTGGGCCTCTTAGTTTCAAATTGGAAGGACTTGTGGTATGAGGTATCCCTGAAAACATACCTACGAAAGCAGCTAACCGGTGGATGCTTCATTTTTTTACTATTTATTGATTACTCTCCTTCCGTTATCGTTGGGTGGATGAAAGGAACGACTTAATGTCGTCAATTAATGCATGCAAAGGCGTGGGATACCTCAATTCGTAAGCTTATGCTTATGCATATGTATTGTGGGAAAATTTTACATTGCACTCAGGATTGATAACAGCGTAGTCTGTTTTTTCGGTCAGGGGCGAGCCAAAAACGTGGTACGGTGTGTCTAGTGCGGACGCGGTGTTATTTGAGCGTGCAATGCGCAAACAGGCGGGTGAATTGTTCGATCTATCGCCGGATCTGCTGCACCACATCACCACCATCATGAACCCAAATCTGCTACAGGCTGAGGGTGTACCCATCTACCGCACTGACCAGCATTGTGGCGAATTTGTAGTCACCTTCCCTCGTGCCTACCACGCTGGCTTCAATCAGGGTTTTAACTTTGCTGAGGCTGTTAATGTCTGTCCGCCCGCCTGGGTGAGTCACCATCTTACCTTATTCCACGATTTTGGGACATGGGTGTTAGTGACAACAGTAGCTCTACCTTTCCTTGGCCAATTTCTCTGATGAACTGGTTTCCGGAAGCATTTTTTTTGTGAGACAGGGTTATTCTGTTATTTTTAAATTTATCAGTACAAAATACCTAGGGCTCTCTTTTCATTACCTAAAAGGAACCTGTTGAAGCTGAAACTTTTCTGCCTCAGTAACCCTTTATCGTCCCTCTTCCTATTTTTACCGTAATTTGTCTCCAGGTGCTGTCATTTTTCAGAGGTGGTCAAGTTGTATTCGCTACTCAGGCAACGGGCTTGTGATCACCTGTGATAGATTATCTGCACTACTTTTTTTCGTACTTCATCTCCATTTGAATTGGGCGTAAATAACATCTGTTTTTCATGTTTCATCATCCCTTATCAGTGATTCCGAATAACCTTGTGTGAAAGTCGCCTGCAGTTTCATACTATTTCCTAGTGCTTTCATCAGGGCAACCAAATACTTTCTTTTTGGCAAAGTATTCACTGTAATTTGTCTATTTCCAGTGACTGTACATTTGGTGGTTGATTTTGAGGCAAATAGCCTCTATCGTCCATGCTTATATCTTCCACATCTCTAAGCCTGAAAATTTACAAAGTGGTATTCATGTAGAACAGCAACGCACTCCATGTGTTCAACTCGAAGACGTAAAATCTTATTTGGTTTTCCAAATTTCTTGTCCTTTTCGAACCTATCTTTTAAAAGTTAGCAGCGCGCAGCGGTTAAACTTTGGTAAACCTCTGTAATATGCGGTCCTCAGAAGTACGAAGTGACAACAAGAGCTTGCGATACCTCTGATTGCCTTTCGTAACCTGTGTAACCTTTCAAATACATGAGCTTGTTAATACATTCCATCATAACACAACAGTAGGTGTGGTGTCGTATTCTTTATGCAGCTCCATACTATTTCGTCATTTCGAATCCTCTTGTCATGGTATCAAGTGAATGCTATGAATGTGCATCAAGACTAGTACGCTTTGAGGACTTAGTCTCAGCTTGCATTTGCCCTATGGTATTTAGATTAAAAGAGATATCATTATGTATTGCGTAGAAGTTGTGTGTAAGGTTTGGCTCTAGAAGTGGAAGGTGGGTCAGTAACCATATCAACTGTGAAGGGGTGGAAAGGTCATATAGTCCGGATGGGTCTCTGTTGTATGCCACATGCCTTCATGCATATTGCGACAGTTGGGATTTTGAATTGGTTACTAGTTGTATGACTACAGTCTGGCTGTCTGACTGGCTGCTGACTGCTCGGTAGACATGTGACGAGAAATAGGTGCTGTATTACTGTGATATTTGCAGAATAAATGAGTGGAGGAACACGTGGAGCTACTGGTTATCAAACACTTCTCTATCGCACCTCCTGCCTCCGTGGAAGCACTCAATTCGTTGTCATCAGAAAACTGCTCTTCACGAAAGGCTTATTGCAGGCTGAGGTAAATGGTCAGGTTCAATATGAAACTTGAGGTCTACCGAACTGGACGACACCTTGGTTAAAAATTATAAGTTTCGGTGAAGGCGGTAGCGGAGCCATGGATGGATAGGTCCGACTACTTGTTTGGTCGAGTCAATGATTAGCTGTTATGAGGACGTTCTGTAGCTAATCCATGCGTGTTCGGTCTTGGTCCGTGTTCACGTCCATGCGAAATTGTTCTTGTGCTGATGTTTGAGAAATTGCCGCTGTCACTGTGTTTGAGAAACAATCAGAACCAGTGGTTATTTTGGTTTGGTTTTTTTCTTTCAGGAGGATGTGGTAGGAATTGGTCATTATAAAGCCGCCTCCATTTTCCTTGCATTGGTTATGTTCACCTCTACTTTTATTTACATGATCAAGTTCGAGGCAAAATAGAGCTTGTGGCAGCATGTAGCACGTATAAGGTATAAATGAATGAATAAAGTATCTCTAAACTTTCTGCAATATTTTTATTAAATGAGACCTTTAAAACTTGAGATGTAGTAACGAAGGTGTCATTTCGATAGCACTTCTACTTAGGTGTCTACGACATTGTAAGCTTTTTCATCACTTCAAATCAATTAATTTTCTTTGACTGACCTTTATTACGTTTTTGTAATGCGTGCCCTCCATTTTCCTGTTTCCTGGCCAATCTTTTGTTTCTCTAAGTGGAGTCCCACAACTGTAAGCAAGGAGGCCACAGAATACTGAGTGCATTCTTTTTTACCTGCATAGGTTCTGTGCACTATACCATCAAATTTGTATTTCTTTATCACTGAGAGATTTGAATGAGCAGCGTTGTGTTTAGGGAATAAGTTTTGAAATAAGCATTTTTAAATGAATGACGTTTTCGCATCTAGTAGCAAAGTAGCAACGATGCTGAGACTCATTAACCTTTGCGTTCTCTGCTATTCACTATCCTCAAAACGAAAGCGACTAGCTGTTACCATGTGTACCCCTCTATAGTTCTGCCGTTCCAATTATAGTTGGTGCTCAATTACATTACAAATCTACATTATTAGAAACTACGAGTTAGTTTCTTGTAAAACGCTTCGAGTATCCTTTCAAACTTCGAGCCTCTTTCCTTAACTGGGAGGATGTTAATTGATGCAACTGAGCATACTTCTTTCCTTATCCCTTAATAGCTACCAATAGGACGCGCATGCGTAGAACACTATGCAGAGATGCACCGTCAGTGTGTCTTCTCCAACGATGAATTGCTATTTCGCCTAGCAGAAGTCATTGCAGGCCGACGGGAGATGGTCGATTGTGCCACTTACACGGAGATGGCGGCCGAGCGCTTCCGAGATCGCGAAAGTGCCAGCCGAACTTGTTTCGAGGCGGAGGACCTCCGCATCATCTATGAAGAGTTCTCCACTGTAGTGGGTCGTGAGGTGCGCGCGCGTCGTCATCTCCTTCCACTGTGTGCTCGTGCCGTCCATTTTCGCATTGATCGCATGTCGGAGCACGCTACCGGGGATGAGGATGAAGATGATGACGAGCGCATTTGTGCAGTGTGTCAGACCACGCTTTTCTTCTCCGCTATTGCTTGTCCCTGCAAGGCACCTGATTTGACAAATGAGAGTGTGCATCCGCCTCGAATTCAGGGAAAGAAACGTGGGTCTGCTCCGGGTTCGTCTGTTTTCAAACTCACTGATTTCGTATGATATTTGTGACTAGAGTATGTTTCTGGTTAGCTTATTTCACGTAACCATCAAATTGAGCTCTTGATGTTATGCAGAATACGAGTGTCAAGCATTGAAAGTAACTTTCGAGTGTTTTATCTGTTTAGATTCTTCTCCTTTCATTAAACATTATCTCCCCACTTAAAGCCAATTTGGTAGTTTTGAATTTCATGCTGGAATTCGAATATATTTTGACATTTTTTATTGGTAAATTCCCCTTGCTGTGTTAAGTGCAAATCGGCTAAACTCTGAAAAGAGGTGAGGTTACGAAAATCCTATTCTTGCGTTGTATTCAGCCCTACTTTTGGATGCTGGGAGGTTAGGCGACGATTTTTTAGTTTCTTTTGATAAAAAATGCAATTTCTGTTTGAGTTGACCACTCAAGTTTTTATTCGCTACTCAAATTGGCGGCGCCAGTCTTAGCTACGTTCGTACGCCAGTTGAGAACCATGGACTTTGACTGCTCAGTTCAGCTGATCTTATTTTCTAATTTCAATTGGTTTCTCCTAACTTCCGAGAACTTTTGTTGCTGACATCTCTATATAATTAAGGCTCATTTGAGTAGTCTGTCGGCAGATTTTGATCAAGATGTAAGGTTGTCGTTAAATGTTGAGTGATAAATTGAGGAAGAAGCCTTTGCCACATAGTCATGCTTCTGATCACTTGTGATGGCATCTGAACCGATACTATAGCCACTTATTGGGTACAATTCCTTTGAAACACAAACAGCTTCTCACCAAGTGGCTTAAGGTTATTTATTCTTTGGTAAATGGGAACAATAACTAGTCTTTTATGCAACGGAAGAGGATTATATAGGCATTACCAGTAGTTTGGTCGGTACAAAATTTTTCTACTTTACGCCATTTCGAAACCAATTTTTTTACTGGGTTATTGACGCGATTAACTGTCCGGTTGTTATAAGTTGATCAAAGAAATTAGAAGTGTGTTATTTTTCGTTTTTTTAGCAGCGCCAAGTTGTGCTGATGGGAAACCAAAACATGCATTCATGGTGTGTCTGGACCATGTAGAGTCGGTTTGTGAGCGCTGTCCATTGTCACAGTGCACCCTCTACTACACCCATAGCCTGGAAGAATTGGAGGAGATGCGTGACGCATTCGCTGCTCGAATGGATGCCTACGCAGCCTGGCGACGCACTTTCACGCCTTTCTTCCTGGAAAATTCTGCATCTGCCACTGCCCCCTCTGCCTCCCTCCCCGTCCCCAGGGTCAGTCTAGACACCTTTGAGGTAGGGCCACTTCGTCTGTTTATCCATTGGTCTGTCGGTGCGGTAGTATTCTGACACGAAATACGGGTCAACACGTCAAATTCCGATTTGTAATTTTACAACTGCGAAAAGCCACTTTAGCATGGCGGTGCGACGCATATCAGTCGGCGAAAAGTGGCCTCTATTGCGAATATTTGTGGGCTGCTCACATCAAGTGCCGGCGGTGTTCCCTGAGACGGTAGGCCATTGTGATGGCACGTAGATACATGAATTTGTGTACTGTTCCCCACACGCATGCACATATGCACAACTTTCCTTTGCATAGTTTCGTAGTTCAACCAACTATTTAATTATATTTCTACGCAATAATAAAAGTAGTCTCGTAGTAGTAGTAGTGTGATAAGTGCTAATCGACAGAGCAGAGTAGAACCCAGATTGCAGCGCCGGCCTTAAGCAAAGTTCAGCATTTGTCTGGTTCATTGTTTTCCAGGTGGTGGACACGAACCACAAATGATCTAGTTCTCTAGAAATCCTTTGGGTAGGCCGCTCGATATGTTGAACGCACCCATCTTGTGCCGGTAACTCAGGTGACATTTCCTCTACTTATTTATTCGTACGTTAAGGGACTGGCGGTTTGCATTGCGCTGATGTGTGGAGGTCAACTGATAGCTGTCGGATGATTCCAGCTCTACGGCAACTGTCTCGTAGCCTTACCGTATTGATCCTTTGCGAACATCCTCCTGGCATTTGCGCAACTGGTCCGAACGAAATCTTCCATAAATGGAAGCTTGTGGCGTTGCCTTATGTGAATCAGATTTGTGTGGACAAATACGAATCGAAAATATCGTTGTTTTAGATTCCTCAGTCACCCTTTTTCACCTTGTACTACCGAAATTTTGTTGGCTTCATGTAAATTCGGTTTTTTTAGTTTTTAAAGTAGTCAAAAAGTGGTTGATACAAATCCATGTTTTACAATGCAAGTCTCAGTGGGAGACTTGCAAATTATAATTTGCGATGAGCCATTAGATTGAGCCATTCCAGGAAGCCACTCAAGCTTTTTTGGTAGTTCGTTAGCTGCTTGAATCCCATTCTACAGTGGTGGTCGAGATTCAGCTCGTCTTGGCGGTATTCCATTCATGTCACGAATGCACAGTCTGTAAGCCAATGGATTTTCAAAATGAAGTCTACATTGTAGAGCAGATTTGTGATACCGGCCTCTTGACTTTGTGACTGGAGATTTCTATGAATCCCGCTTTGTGCACTGCCATTGTTAAAGCCTACATGCACAAGCCGTAAGGCTCATATTTTTACCCGTCACTCTGGAAAATAACAATGTATATTCTGGTCTCGCAACAAAACATTTCACTCTTGCAGTTTTTTTGTGAGAACAGTAGCTATGGTTGATTTATGATGGACTATGGTGGAAGACAAGCTCTTCGCTGGTGCACTTACTTTTGATCGTGAACTCAAATATAACAACGCAGGACCGGCCCGCCTCGGGCGGAAACATCCCATCATCTAGATTCGTTGCTTCGCTCCTTGTGCATACCTCACATGTACGAAAGTGGAAACGTCATAGGTACTTAATGGCGTTTGTGAACGCACAAATACCTACTTTTTTGTAGGTTATTTAGAAAATTTAGGATTGGTCAAAAAGGGAGTAGATTGTCATGGGCGGTTCAAAGTACTTATGCACAACTTGCTTCGAGTCAGTATTCTGTGAAGGGGGTATGGCGGATCCCCTATTAGGTGAATTGTGGAAGGAGAGGTTGGGTCTGATTTGCATAGGAATCCAACTCTCCATCCGATCTCTGCGGCTCTTTCCTGGATCACGGATGAGCATAGACCAGCTCCTCGTTGCAGTTCTCATTTCTTTATTGTTCACCACTTTTATGCTATTTTGCATCTTCATGCTATGGGTTATCGATGGGACCGGATTCAAGTGATTTTAAATATTCCGTTTTATGTATTGAATCAACTTGGCTCCATTGCTGAGAGGCTTCTGATAAAATTTGTTGAATAGCAATTAAATAAATTGCAGATGATAACTCAATGGAAAGGGCCGCAACCCATTAGGAGGGGTTGGCACCAAGTGTACATTTCAATCGATCGTCTCACTGATGAATTACTGGAGGAAAGGTCTTGTGGCACTTTAATTGGAATTTCGCTTCACCTGAAATAGAGGAGTGGAGATCATTTGAATCCAAATAGGTTGGCGCCCCGTGCTAAGCATTGGCGAATGGTAGGCTTACGAAATCGTCAATCATTTATCTATTTCTTATAGATATTGCCTTCTGACCATCTACGAACCTCAACCAAGTTACTGTGATGCTTGTAATAAGAGATGCGTTTTGCACTCTGGCAATGAGTGAATGAATGGAGAGCACAAATAGCCACTGGTTGTGCTTAATCGATTTCCTATCGTACCATCCATTCCAAGGCACATCCCATTGCGCCACCGTAAAACAGTTACACTTCGCTCGCGTGCATAGATGTGATGCATTATGGGCTAATTTGTTTGCTCTCAAGTGTGCATTTGCTGAAGGACGAGTATTTTTGATTGTGATTTGCCATCTCAGTTTATCTTGTGTCCAAAAGTAACTTCATTGTATGCACCGAAAAGCAGTTAATCAGAAGAGAAAGGATATGCTAGTAACAAAACATCTGGAGTCCTATTGAGGTTTTGCACTCTATTTCATGTTAGAAAGGTCATAGGTGCTGTCATATTCCATCCTCGTGTTACCTTAGTAACGGTTCTCAAAGTTAACTACCGCTTTTTCAACGAATTCGTGCATCTATGCTGTCACGTACAAGGTATGATTATTTCTTCTGTCATAAATTGTAGTGGACGCTCATTTTTATGTTACGCTTTTTTTTGGAATGGTGGCAAACGCTCTTTTAAGCCGTCTCCCATTAATTAGTTCAATCAGGCTTGCTTAGGCATCTTAAGTTTCGTTCTCAATGCTCATAATTATTTCCTTATTGTTGGAGCTGTATCACTGCATCACTTCTCCAAGTCAGTGCATACGATTGCTTTGGAAACCCTTCCGCTCGACGTAGAATCATGGGTGAATCACTTAGTATTGAGGGTTCTTTTTTAGCCTTCATCAAAAAGCTGGCGCAGCATAACCGTCTTTTTTGAGAATGAGTCAAGCAGGAGGTTCTGCATTGACTTCTGTTCGATTGACGTTTTAGTTATACTTTATATTTGTGCCTTTCGTCCCTTAACCCTTTGGTGGGTTCTGTGCTTTGGTGCACATACACTTGATCATTCTGGTATTTTCGTCAAAAAAATTAAAGTGCTCAATCGTTTTTAAAAAATGAATTTTGGTTTCCATCTCTCGGTCAATTTCGCCCTCATTCGGGTGACTATTGTAGTTCTGTATTAAGGTTGATAGTATTGGTCGCCGAATTATGCATCAGTTAGCGTTTAATGTCGCATATTGTAATCCTTTTCATTTTGCGGTAAGGTGCTGAAAGTGTGAGGAAAACAAAATACGGGTCGTGACAGCGAACTTCTCTTCAGCCTCTAAATGCGAACGTGTTAATTCGTTTCATTGCCTCTGCATTCCAGCGGCAGTTGAAAGACGCACAACTGTTTGGATATCACACGGATCAACTCTACAAACGAGCAAACAGCTATCTGGAAGGCGTGAAGGACCTCCTACGCGTCTGTGAAAAAGCAGCAGACTTTATCCTTGGACGTAATCCCATTCCTTCCACCACGGAGGGGCATTTGCTAGAGTTCCAATTGAAACGGCATACGGGGACATCATCATCCAGAGGGGGTGGCAAAGGTGTTACCCACATCCTTCAGCACAGTATTGATTTAACAAAGTGAGTCTCCAAAGCTCAGTAACCGCACCACTAATGGAAGGCATTCATTGCTTCAATTGTAAGAAAAAGTTAAAATAATGCCTTTCGATCAGTCGTCCATTCTTTACGATCTCGGAATGTGTAAATTTTGAGTAGGACGGTCTAGATACGCTTTTGTCGTCTAGAATTTTCTTGGTTAAGGATAAGCGATACCATATCGTAAGGAGATTGTCCTTTGAACCTCTGAATCTAATCGTTGATTGGTGGACTCTAATGAAGAAAGAACAATCGCTATTACATTTTGAATCAACACTTATCGTTAGAAAGGCTATAAGAATTGCATGGCTTTTGGTATGCTTTTATGCATGATGACCCACCTAATGTTCACCATTTCACAGGCAGACTTGTCAGAGTGCAGGACTGTATCCTGCGTTTTTAAGGGGACTTTGCACCATCTTAATGGTTTACCCTTCAAAGCCTTCATCTTTGCTATACAATCTTCTAGTGTCGCATAGGCTTCCGATGCAATCGACTCAACTGCTGCTTTGGCTGCATCATCATCATGAGAATCTTCTGTTGCCAAGTCGTCTTCATCACCGATTTAGTGAACTTGAAATGATGTGCTTTAGGTCAGTAATTATCAGCGCTTTTCCAAAGTATTGATTGTGGTGCTAGAAAGTTATCACCGTACAATAAAACCACACTATTTAACATGATAGTCCTGTTGGGTGTGTTAGTAATCTTCTTTCTAATGCATACAACAGCATACCGTCCCGCCAAGGGCTGCTTCACATTTGACGCAGGTTATTCTCGAGTTTCCACACTTCGATCTTTGTTATCAGGTCTATAATGCGTAATTCGTAATTACTCTTTGCAAACAGCTACTTGATTATGTTTCTTCATGTCTGACCAAATTTTAAGTACGGTATCCGTTCGAACTACACTTAAGGCTGCTGTAAACGAGGCATTCAAGGACTTTTTTGTCGAATTTTCGAAGCGTCGAATTTTATGCAGATGGCGAGCGACGATAATGCTTGAATCTGTCTCCTTACTCTCGGTCGACTAATATTGCACGTCCTCATTCTCTTCGCCAAAAGCAATCATCTCTCGGTCCAATTTAGCATAGCGGGCTGATTGTCGGGGAAATTCAACAAAGCTGCATCCTTGTTCATTTTTTATCTCCTTGCAAACTCGCATGCAATAAAGCAGCATTGATTTGGGATCTCAAGAATCCTTCTGGACTTCCAACCTGAACTTAATTTTATCATATTCTTGTTCATATATTGACAAGTGGAATCATTTGGGGTTTCTTCTGTTCATGAAACAGTCGTTAAAAACTACACCTTGTGGTTTTTTTTACGCTGAAAGGCAAAGGTAACAAAATTCTTGTTTAGAGACAGTCACATAGCACATCATTGTTGCACTTACCTAAACACCACCATTCTTCATGTCTTCGCAATTTATATTATTGCCTTAACCACCAATTTTTCTATTTTTTTTTGCTGTCTGTCCTCCCTTCAAGTCCACGAGAAACTGATTTTCTCAGCCTTCTTGAAGCCGTGGAATTGGAGGAAGCGTCAGCTCCTGTGAACTTGACGCAAAGGTCTAATTCGGAAGGCAATGGAGAATGTGAAACTGAGTACGAAACGCTCCCTAGCTTAGCGAGTCTTCGACGTCTTTTCCACAATCGATTGCCAAAGTGGCGCGCAGAGGTATTGGTGGCGGTGGAAGAGGATGCTGTACAGCGCAACAGTCTTGAACACTCATCCCTGTCCCATCTTCAGTCTCGTCTTGCTATTCTTGTACTCCATCTGCGTGAAGAATTTCCCGGCTGGTGTAAACACTCGGCGGAAGTCAAAATTGTTGCTTTGGTAAGTTCTCTCTGCCTCAGGTGTGATCCAGAAAACCCTTTGCTGAATGTTTTTTTAATTTTACCCTTTATCTCTTCGACATGACTAAATTCATCATTATCACGCTTTTCTTTCAGGCTCAGTTCAGAGGTAGAGACAATCACCCATGTTTTATTGGTCGAATACGAAAGTAATGCTTTCAGTATCGAACTGAGCTAAGAATTATCTAAAATCGTAATTACTCTCTTACCGACACCAATCACACCAGTGGTAAAGTGCTGAAGTGTTGATTGAGAGGGTGGTTGCATGTAAACTATCTTTTACCTAATTGTGACAGATGGAAGAGGCGTGTCGGTGGATTTCCGCCTCGGGTGAAGATGGCAGTGATGTTGGGGGTGAATGGCGTAGTCTTCCAGGCCTCCGCCAATATCTGTCGCAGGGGGAAGAACTCGTGGCACGTCTCACAGCCGCAACTGACATAATCACCAACTCTGATGCAAGTACCGATAATGGTAATCTGCGGACTGTCGGGACTCGTCGTCACCGTGGCGATGACGATGGCGATGGTAGCTCCGTCATGAACACCTCCCCACCCCCCGCTGTCACGGTGGCTTGCAGGCCGATACTGGAACAGCTCAAAACTCGAATTAATAATGTCATCCCTGCCATCTCTCAAATGTTCAATCAGGCTTGCTCCACACTCTCGGTGTTGGTAGAGAAGGTGCAGGACTTACAGTAAGCGTCGTTTCGTCCAGGAGTCATAATGCCCACATTTCTTCCTCCTTCTCTCCATGCTACCTGGAGATTGTTTTGTTTTGCATGGTATTGGGAGTTAAAAACGATTGTAAAATGTTGCTGAGGGTGTATGTGTCTATCAAAGTGGTTTGCAATGCTTTCATCTGAACTCGCTTTTACTTATTTAACAACGTTGACCCTACCGTTGCGGTGCATTTTTAAATCCTTCACCGTTGTCAAAACGTTTCCTTTTGGTAAAAAATTGACTTTAAGGAGGTAAATTTTTGACTCTGAACTATTAACGTACTGCGTTGGATGAGATAAAGCCATGCGAAGTGTTCCGTTCTACGAACTTAAGCCCTATGGATAGGTTTACTTAGGAAACACGGGTCGGGGCAATGGTAGTACCGGCCAAATTCAAGCTAGCTATGTGGATTTATGCTTGTGCGCCTTCATTTGCAATGGAAATGTGGTAACAATTAGGAATAACTAAAGAGGCTGAACTTAAGCGTCAAAAAGAACTTCACCAAAGTACTTACGTCACCATTGGCTAGGTGCGAGTGTTATTGCCTTTATCGCTTTCCACGAATGTCATTTTTGGGTGACGTTTTAATGATTCGCATCGAAAAGAAAAAGCTTTGCATTCCATAGTTTTAAGAACTTACTGCCATGAATAACGATGAAGGAGCGCTTTCACAAGAACGGATAGAAGTTTCTGGATTTCAAAATGCTATGGGATGAAATCGTTTTTGCAATTTTCTTCCCTTGAATAAAAGGTGTTCGAGGAGAAGAAGGACGTGGTCGCCAGCATTCTGGCACCGAAAAGGAAGCAAAGTAGGCTGTCGTATTCCGAAGTATTTTCATTCTAAAGCTTCCAAGGTACTGGTTAGGTCTTGGGCCAAGCAACGTATAGCTGTGGGAGTTAGTTAGCTCGAAAAGTTCTTAAATTGGTGCTTTTTTGCCCTTATTGAATTCACTTGTCTGTTTTGGACTAACATGATGTTCTGAAACTAAGACGTGTAGCAATTTCGGTTACCTTTCGATTTTTCAATGAGGCAGTAGTGTAATGGCTGTCTAAACATGCACATGGAGTCTTTTGAGGACCATTCTTTCGGATTTAAATGAAGTTCTGGAAAACTGTCTCTATTTTTATCTCGCTATAACTAATTGTTTGGTTTGTAAGTGGCCGTGGATTTCTACACTTTTATTTATGCTTTTCCTCAGACTGACAAAATGGGCAGCAAAGAGTAACCTCTCCGCTGTGGGACAGAGTCTGGCCAATCTTGCCTGCTTCGGTGTTCACTGTGTGGGCGAGGAGGCGGAGGAGGAACTAGTTAAGCTGGCTGATGCTACTGGACTGGTGCAATGCCTTACTACGTGTCTTGCTGGACCCACTGAGTCCGACCATCAGAGCCACCATCTTCGTGCAGCGAAGACTACGAAGATGGATGAGGAGGATGTGGCATCGTCCACTGCACGATTGGTGTTTGCCTGGTGTGTCCAAGTGACCCACCGCTTCCTCACCAATAATGAACAGTCTGAGTGTCCGGAAAACCCCGAGTTGTGGCTGTGCCATGTAAGGTCACTCATACCTAATTTATAGTTTTAACCCATTTCGCCTTTATGGTAGATGTAATTCCTTTCTATTAATTCCGGGGGTTCCCTTCACAACGGATGCTTTTTTGTTATATAGTACTCGGCATTTAAGGACTGACGAGGGAAGAAACAAAATTTGTTTTAAGGTACTCTAGCCGTATTTATAGATACTTATACCGTGAGGCTTCCCAAGACTTAGCCCAAGACTGGGGTAAATGACTTATAAGTGTGGGGAGGACAATAGTGCTAGAAACAATCGGTTCATTCTGAATTCGGTGAAAGTGAGATAGATTTCTAACATGAATAAGTTCTGGACATAATGTAGTTGCATTAATTTTCGCGTTTTCAGCTTTCAAGTCTTATTGCTGTGGAGGAATTTATTTTTGGCGCTAATTATACCAAAGAAGGAAAATCAGGTATTGCCCTTCCTTCGGAGTTAGAACAATGTCGTCATAAATTTGACACCTTCTGCGATCTTCATTTAAAGAGCTTCCACAGTATGGCGGGTCAATTCGTTAATAATGTTGGCACATCTTTGCCGCTTGATCTCTTCAATCTCATTCTTGAGGTGAGTTCGACCTTCCTTGCAAATCTTCAGTCAACCTATCGGTCAATCAATCTCGAGTTGGGCCCCTTTTTTCCTCCCTAGGTCACGGTTTCCTATCCCATCGCGGATGACACATTGCTACAACTCCATCAAGCCACCTTTAAACAGGATTTTGAGGGCTTTGAGGTAAGACTCATGAATTAGGGCTTGCAAATACACTGCGCCGACTTTTGGTCAGTTTAAAAGCTACTGGTTGCAACTGTACGCTTTAAAATATAAAGAGGGGATTGGTTGCGGCAAGTGATAACTTCTTAGTTCTTACTTTTGTGATGAATAACGATGCGATTGAAGAAAACACCAGTTCTTCGGCTTTTTAACATATTTGCCAAAATCTTGCCTCCAACCCGTGCCCTTGCTATTTGACTTGCTAGTACACGTGTTTCAAATACATTCCTTGACATCTCTCTCACTGGAAGTTCCCGGCTTTTTATTCCCCCAATATGTCTGACGTGCATTTTTACGGTGCAGAAAAGCCAGCCATCCAATGCTCAAAAAACTATGATTATCAATTCGAAATACAATTTAGCATTTCTGATTTTTCCAAATCTAAATGGTCGTCACAAGATGTGCCATGCGAACTCAGGCTATGAAGTTGCGGTGTGGCACGGTTGAAGCTGGTGAGAAATGGTTTAGGGGAAGTTTTATCTTCTTTGTAATTGCTGCTTAGGAGAATTATGGATCATAAAGCGTTGGCGCCAACTTTCGTAGTTGATGACCCCACTGTTGGGAGGGGATGTCTGGCTTGATTGTTGTAGTGACATGACAAAAGCGAAAACGTTAGAATAATTTGAGGCACTTAACTTCGCGCTGCTATAGTTCCATTCATTCTTTTTTACCGAAGTTTATATGAGTCATATGATGATACTTCACATCCTATTTTCTTCTCCACCGTGTTTTTCCTTACTGTTTGGGTCGATCTCTTCTCGTCTACTCCGTTTCATTTCAACAATTCCATCTTGATACGCATCTCTGATGCGGGTCCTAAATCGCGTAAAATCTCGACGGCTCACATAATTGTGTGTACAACAGCTAATGATGGACGTCATGCAACTTTGACCATAAAATCCGGAACATAGATTTGGAAGAAACTTAATGTTTGCCCGTTGAAGGGAGTTTAGTGCAGGTCAAAGCGAATGGAATGCGATTTCTAGTCCCGGACGCAAAGCATCTTTCTTGAGTACAGAGGTCGTATGATTTTAATTCAATCAAATGAGCCTATTGACGCCCTCCACGGTAATTCCTGTTTCAGGTGCCGTTTATTTGTCTGATTTTTGGCTTTAGCAGGTCAACAGCACCTACTTTAGGCACAAATAATTGGCCTTTTTATTATAACCTACTTTATTTCATCACGCAAGATATTTTTTTGTAAATTTTGCCTTTTAGCGTCTTCTTAAAACCTGTTTCGAAGCGTACAGCTCCAAAGTTCACTCCGCTTTACAAGGCATCAAATCCGACGACCTGTGTCACGCGTGCCATGAACGTCTTGGATTGGCTGTAGGTTGAAGAGAGGAGAAGCATTTCATTTTCCCAAATCTGTACTCCTTAAAAGCAACAATTCATCGTTAGGCCAAATGTTGACAATTTTTTGCCTTACCGTTAGCCAAGCCTCATAGACTGTCAGAGACGCAAATCCTTGTTATGAGACGGAAGGAGAATTCGTAGATATCTCATGCCACTCCTACTGGCGGTCTTCGTTTTTCGAGTAAACGGTCCTAGACAGCAAATTAGCACAATCTTTTCGCTCAATTTAGAATACAAACGTCAAACCAATGGCATCCTGTCGCCGGTTGGAATATTATCTAGGGTAAAATGTCGCCGTTCCTTGAATAGGATCGTTTCATCTGCGTGCCGTGGCAGCTTTGATGAAGCTAAAAGATGAAAAAGTCGCAATGGCTTCATGACTCGAGCTTATCTGCTTTGTCTTTGAAAAGACAATCTCATTGTTAAGCGTTTGGCAGTAATCTTATCGTTCACTTTTCGTTTCAGGAGACCGCTATGAAACCATTGGATGTCTGTCCTCTGTGCCCTCTCCTCTCAGCACGGCGAGATGTCAAGTCATTGACAGTATCGGATTTGGTACAATCAGCGAACACGGATACGCCAGATTTTTCAACTTGCGCTTCGCATTGCCTTCTTTGTGCTGTCACAAGCTGTGCCCATTTTATTAAAAATCGCTACTCCAATTGGTTGGTGAGTGGATTGGTCTCATTTTGTCTTCCCACCTAAGCATATAAATGACTGCATTGTTCTTTTTTCGAATTCATTTTTGCAGTTGGAGATCAACAGCATAGTGGGGAGACATTCAGCGTCGACATGCCAGTTCTTGTCTGGGCAACCAGTTACTTTCATTGATGAGCTGCCTGATCCACTGAAAACCACAGCTTCAATATTGTGTGATCAGAAGGTGAAATTAATGGCTTCCACGAATTCTTTACACGAAATTCTCTTTCTCCTCATTGAAGCGCAGACTCTGTCTTCAGTTATCAAGCTGCCATCGGCGTGCATACAACTACTACGGGGACTTTTAGATTTCTAATTCATTCTCTTTTCACCCCGTGGTATCTTCTTTGTGAGTTTCTTTTCCGCCATCTTATACAATCAATGACGGTGGCGTTGTGTACAGACTGTCACTTTTTGGAGGTGGTGGTATGGTCTTCAAATTTTACCTGCGATAATCGTGTCGCGATTTCTTTCCCCTATATCCCATCCTTGCGTGTATTGTTCTTCTATGTTTCGTTAAACTAAACTCTGTGGTCTACTACTGGTATTGCAACTGGAATTTTGGCTGTCTCAAATTCCATTTATCTCAAAATGTAAGTCGCTTTTTTGAGGTAGATGTTGGCTTGCTGTGGAGAGAATGTCAAGATGGGTGAGGGTGAGGCGTCTAATAGAATTGGCCAGTTCTGGTCTTGGTTGGACTTCATGCAGGGTCACCGTACTGTTCGGAAATAGGTTCTGGGGTCATGGCATGATTTTTTTTTTCGCCAACACTTACTGTAGCGCTTTGTTTATGTGACTGCCTAACGTTTGGCGATCACTTTAGGATTTGTCTGTAGCGTCCCGAGGCTTCCCATAGGGTGGAAGAAGACATGAGGTTGAATATATGTATTCTGAAGACGACAGGGCAAATGGGTCTAGGCATGCCCCGGAGGCCAGCCCACGTGTAAAAGGGTCAGATAAATTCTATAGTGACCGCCAAACGTCTGGTAGTCGCATAAACAAAGCATTGCACTGCTCCTCTTCTTTTGAGCGACGTCCTCGGCGCTCCCCTTTGGTACACCTCCCGCGCCAGCCATCACAACATATTCGGTACTACATGAAAGCACCCACGAACCAACCGCGCCAGTCGACAGACAACACGTGACTGAGGAACCGTACCTAGTCTTCTCGGCAGTTTTAACTGGATCTGGAGTTGCGTTCGGCCTGTTGACCATCAATTGCTTCCACGTCTAGACGGTGGAACTCTGGTATAAGACAATTATGTTTCAGGGAAAACGGGATGAGCTGCTGTCCCGCATGCAGGGAGAACTGTGGTGTCAATTCCGACACCTAAACACGGATTTTGTTTGGAAAATTCCGACACGGAACTTTTAGATGGTACACGGCGGTGTCGCTTCAGTTGTTAATAGCTTGTCTGTGGAACACGGGACTAAGATGAAACCAAATGTAGACGTCAGTCTCCAATTCACGCCCCCTTTTCGCCTGTATCTTCATCTATTGCACTTCGATAGATTCAGACTTCCTCCTGGATTTCTTCACTAAAAAGTAGAATTCATTTACAACCTTTTTTGCTGGTTGAATTATAAACTTCTTGTCGTGAAAAGAGTTCTCGACTTTCCGGCCAAAGGAACCCGATTTTTGGGTATCTGCATGCATTGAACCAGTGCATCATCCGATCGAACCATTGCTCCTCGGCTTGTTCATACCGCTCTATTCCAGAAATCAGTCGATTACGTGGCAAATTTTAGCAACGAAAACGTAGGATTTTAGTAAGACAGCGATGTCTGTTGGGCAATAGATTTTCCCGGACACTATGTCGCTTTTAACAAACGGCCAACGAAGAACAAGTCGTAGAGATAGACTCCGCCTCAGCTGCAGCAGGTTTTCAAAAGTACTGTATACCTAAAAGTCGTCAAAAAAATGTCGGGTACGCTTTTCGCTGCCACGAGTGTAGCGTCTCAAGGCTTCCCATAGGGTGGATGAAGGCATAAGTGAGGTTGAATACATGTATTCTGAAGACGGCAGGACAAATGGGTCTGGGCATGGCCCGAAAGCCCGTTCGCCAAATGTTCGGTAGTCGTATAAACAAAGCATTACATTGTCTGCCCCTTGTACACGTGAGCTGACCTTTGGGCCATGCTCAGGCCCATTTGCTCTGTCATCTTCGGAATACGTGTATCCAGCTGCACTTACTGACATCTTATACCAGCTTGGATTTCAGAAACTATTTATTCAGCCAGGTATTGTATTGGTCTTGTCTGATAAGGCAAGGATAATTCGATAACTTGTCACAAATCTGTACATTTGGATAAGAACTCTGGAGAACCTGTTTAATGCGTAGAAGAATTTTAAAAATCAAAAATACAAAATGTGGTGCTAATAAAACATTGTTATTAGGCGGAGCACTTTAGACACTTCGTCTTACCACCTTCTGTTTTGTCTTACTCAAATTCGCGAACCTATTTGGAACGTCGCGGTTGCGATTATCAGCCATTAGGATGATTGATGTGTACGTGACAATGAAACTACCCGCAAGGCTATTGCAAGATATCACAAAAGTTGGCTTGAAATACGAGTGCTGGAATGGGTTTGGCATACCACCACGACAGCACCTGATTAGACGCGTAAAAGATGTGAAAGGCCTTATCTGTCATCCGGGAGTCAGTGTTGATGCTGAAATTTTGGATGCAGCTGGCAGCAGTCTCAAGGCTATAAGCACTATGTCAGTTGGATACGACCACCTGGATCTTAAAAGAATCAAAGCCAGGAATATTCGCGTAGGATACACTCCTGCAATACTAACTGACGCTACCGCCGAGTTGACTATTAGTCTTTTGCTCGCAGTTTCGCGTAGAATAAGGGAAGGTACTCATTTTGTCATACCCTCACCTACATTGACTTAAGCATTATCAAAGACTATTTCCTAAATAGCATCTGAAACCGTAACCGCTGGGAAATGGGGCGCATGGGAGCCCTTCTGGATGTGCGGAAAGGGTCTGAAAAATTCCACCGTTGGAATTTTTGGTCTTGGACGTATTGGAACTGCCGTTGCAACCCGTCTAGCAACCTTTTCTCCTGAACGCATTATTTACTCATCATCAGGTCGCCGTCCTGGTTGCTATAAGTCAGTTCTACTTCTCACCAAGTCTGACGGAACACAAATCGAAGCAGAACCAGTTTCTTTCAATGAGCTCCTTCAACAATCTGACTTTCTCTGTGTCTGCACCTCTATGGATGGGGAACTTGAAGGCGTCTTCGACGACAAGGTTGTAGAAGAAATAGATTCCATATTTTACCATTGTTTACCATTCGGATGATTTGTGTGTTTACGTAGGCCGTAGGTATTTGGTAAGATGAAACCGGGTGCCGTGTTCGTGAACATAGCGCGTGGTGCGATTGTTGACCAGGAGGCTTTGTACCGAGCCCTAACAAAGGGAGTCGAGGCCGGAGGACTATATGGTGCAGGTTTGGATGTCACCATGCCGGAACCTCTGCCTCCTAACTCACCGCTGCTAAAGTTACCCAATTGCTTCGTCTTGCCACACATTGGGAGCGCTACCGAGGAGACTCGATGGTAAGCTCAATCCTCTTTCTGCACAACTCCCAATGATGCTTCCCTTTTATTCATACAGGCTGATGGCTAAACGCGCAGTCGATAATCTTATTGCCGGTCTCTCAGGTCCTCAGAAATCAATGCCATCAGAGTTGAAATTCTAGTCGCCAGATGTGCAGTGCAGCATCCAACTTAGGACCTATTCTCTTCTTAATTACGTTAAATGGGTAATTGAAGTGCTACTTTTCAGTACTGACCTTCATTAGTAATGCCTTTATACCAAGTTTAGGACTGAAACCCAATTTCTCTTCCTATGTCGCTTACAGCGAGCAACGCAATCTTCGAATTTTATAAATGAGTAAATATATTGCTACCATTTTCGAAGAAGTCGACTCTGTTAGTGGTATAAGAATGATTACAGCTGTTAATCTATGTGCAGTGGTCGAAGCGATAACTTTAATGACCTTGCTGTCATAGCGATAGTGGTCCTCTCTCACCTCTCGAACTAATTTGTGCACTAAAACTATTGGTGTAGAGCACAAAGTCGCAGTTTTATGTATCACTAAGTCAGGCCTTTATTTTCAAAAGTACTTAGTCTCGATGTTGATGTTTTGCCTGCTAGGTGGGACAACATGCAAGAATAGAAAAGCAGCTGAAATTTACTACCAAGTTGTCGTATCACAGCAGTTATTCTTTATACAGAACACGACCTTAAACACAGAGATCAAGGATGTCTTAGTAGAATAAAAGGCCTGGATGACGTCGGTATTGTAATAAACTGAAGGGCCCTTGAATTTACAGTTTGCAACCAATGCCTAAAAAAACCATGTTAGCAACCAAACAAGGCCAAGACAAAGGATAAACCAGAACTTGTATTTCCGCGATATCAGTCATCTTCAAAATGGGTTTAATCGATGGTATGGTCGAATCCGTATGATTTCTGCTACTCATAAATTGTATGAGATCAGCTGGGACATTTAAAATGTCGTCGATCAAACTCGTACTATTCAAATGTACTAGCCGCCACAGGGGCTTGTCACATCCCTCGGCTGTCAATTAATATTCTGTTTTGAGTTCATCGGTGCATCGGTGGCAAGCCTGTATTACAGAGCCTAATCACTACCTTGATATGACTTATGAAGAAACAGACTTTGCAAATGGGGGACTCGACACATTATCGCTAAGGCTTCAGAAGATACATGTTGGGATTCATGTCGGAGTAAAACAAAGTACCAAGATAATTTCATGCAATTTTCTAACAAACACCAGTCCCAGGCAAGAAATGTTCAAAGGAAGTCGAGATTAACCAAGGTCTGGATTGGACTCACAACCAAAGATTAAAAGTGCCTATCGCCACCGCGGCGGACGCCGAAGGATCTTGCTATGTGCAGTCCTAGCACGGCGATCAAGACGGAATTGGCGTAACGCCTCCCTACTTTCTAGTGGCACAACGCTGCCCTCTTCGTAGAAGAAACTCTGTGCTCCTCCAAACGCCGGCATCTTCTCGCGCATCTCCTGCAGCAGTTCCGCTTTTTCCGTGAGCTATAGCCCAGCAGTACAGTAAAGTGAAGTAAAAAGCCATCAGCGATGGTGATGGCATTAGCAGTGTTCGGGGTGGAGTGATCAGGCTGCACAGGATTATCCAAAAGGGTAGACCCTCACGTCTCACACAAATCGATGTAAAATAGGAGTGAAAATCCTTAAAGACGAAGCAAGTTACTATTTAGTTGTTTAGCCGATGTTTTGAGCAAAACGGTTCCGCTTTCATTGGCATTTCGCAATAGCGCTATTGGCCTCAACGCGAAACGCCACTGAACGATTCGTTTGCTTGGCAGCGGTTCCGTCGCCCATGCTCAAAACCACATGACTTTTCAACATCCATTCAAAAGCTAAGAAAATCAGTTCTCTCGTATTAGTGATGCTTCGAATTCATCACCCCACCGCACAAAGCCCCTTAACCCTTAAGGAATTTTAACTTGCTCAAAAAGAGCTAGACCAACTTTTTCCATCTTTGCGACTTTTAATGCACGATTACAGAAAGTACCTGAGGTTACAAATGCTAGAAGTTCAATTGGCCTCGAATAATAGATTACGTTATGGGAATTCTTGCGCACTCAAAACGATCTGTCTCCAACCCCGATTTACTGGGGTTTCCAATAAATGATCTTAACAAAACATAAGGTAATGGTAGACAGATGAAGCGAGGAATAAGTAAAGTTCCCTCAGAACGTACCTTTAAAAAGAAGACCTCGTTGGGATGTGGTGAAGGGTGAGAGTAAGCACGAATTGGGTGGCCTTTAACATTCGTTTCTTCGCTTTCAGCCGCAAGAAGAGCCGCATGCTCTGCTCCTGTTAGTTTAACTGCTTCGCAACCTGTCGACTCCACCGTCTCAACATTTGTCTCCCTCTCTTCAATGTTTGAGTTGGGGATTAAGCGCGATTGCCTATGCGCTCCCTTCTCTGCTAGTGTTGGTTTAAGCAACATGGCTCGGATCAACAAGTCCAGTGCCTCCGAGTTCAGACGATGCCTATCAGAGAATTTTTATGGTTTTAAACCTTCACAGGGTTAAGTACATGGGTCCGTGGCGTAGTGATTCACTCACGCTTGAAGAGAAGCAGGATCTGTCGAACCGAAGGAAGTGAACATAGGAAGACGAGGTGAATTCCAGAGGAGGTTGAAAGGGTCGCCGGCATCCGAAGCCTTCCAAAGAGAACATAGGGAATTCAACTGATATGCAACAAGTTGCCACGTGGCTGAAATGGCGTCAAAGAGTAGCAACTGCACGCTGAAGGGACTTTCAAGCTCGTTGTAGAGTGTAAAGCCTTAAGGAAGACAAAAGAAAGGCTTGTTACATCAAAGAGTCGAACTCACTGACCTAGTGTAAAGCTGGTAAGTTCCAAAAAAACCCACAAGTCAAGTCAGACAAATTTCTTAAAACGAGGAACGCTTGCGGATTCAAATACAAACCATACGTAGGAACGACCCAAACAAAAGTACTACCTTGGTTATAGGCTACAGCACTGGCCCAAGCAAAGGCAGTCAGGATACCAGTAGAGAGGGCCTCACAAGTTAAGGAGTCGGAAGAGGCAAAGCCATCGATACAATGGAAATGACTTTGTTCTGATGAGGGTGTTACGTCAACCACACCTAGAAGGCCGAATTTGCAGGGCTCTTCGCTCACCGGTTCAGGCAGAAACGGACTTGACGGCCAGTAGCCTACGCCGAGAAGAGTTGAGCAAAAGGTATTTATGAGACAAGCCTTAGATGGCGAACTGTTCTTCTGTATACCAGTAAAGGGGAATCAAGCCACATTCCCAGTGTTTCCGATATTTATGCATATTATTACTCGGTTGTGAGTGCAATTTGTCTGCGCCGTGGAGGCGGTTGGACTCAGATCATGGCTCGAGTACTACGCATAAACTGTGCAGGGTCCAGGGACAGCTTGACAGCACAAAGCTCGCATCACATCAAATAATAACCTATTTGGTGTTATTCTCTTCAATTCAGTTATCACCGAAACTACTGGTAGGGATGTGAGACCCAGAGCCTTACCAGCCACGGAACGAATGTACTCAGGCGAGTGGATGTTGTTGACGAAGGGCAGGCAGCTGAAATCGTAGTGATCAACAGGGTCCAAACCAAAGACCTCGGGACGATAGAGCTTACCGTCGGGTGGCAATCTGTCCTCAAAGCAGGATTCCTCTGATAAACTGACGAACTAGGTAGAATAAGTAAAGAATATTTCATCACCTCAACGCTTTTGCTACGGACCAAATAAGGAAAAGTTGACCGGGATGATTGATTTAGTTAACTGGCCGTACATGAAACTAGAAACCGAGATATCAAGGGGACGACTCCAAAATTCACACAAATGTATCGATCTTCGTAGCGAAATCACCTAGCATGTTTATTACTCTAAGCTCAAACAGTCAGCTCATTTAGCATAGTAAGGGAAGCATAGTCAAACCCTTCTGAAAAACGTTTAGAGCAAAAATAGTCAATAACACGGCTTAAAAACCGTTCTAATTGGGAGGCTGACAAGAAAAAAGTAACAAATGAGGAAAAATACCAGTTAAACAGTTTGAATTACTTCAAATTAATGAAAGAAAAACGTAGTAGATGTAGTGTGTTCTAGAGTTTCGGAAAATGCAACACAGAGTATAGAGATAACTTTATGCAGAACTCAAATGTAGTCCGGCATGTTGAACTACAAAACCGAATAAATTGTAGAGGCTTACCGGTGGGAGAGGTGAGTCAGCACGAAGCTGCCAGGCCAACTTTCCACGGACATGAAAGCGAAGCAGATCTTCCGAATCTAGAATCGCTTCCTCGGTCGTCTCCCAGACATCCTCTGATAGACATTCTTTCTCAATGCGAGTGGTGTCGTAGAGATCAGCGAAACCGGATCGTTTGAAAAACGTCTCCACCTTGGCACCTACGCTCGATTGGGTGGCTCCGGTGCGCAAGTAACTTTGATCACAATACTCAGTCAGGGTTGAATGAATGCACTCCATAAACGAGCTTAAGAATTCCTGTCTCTCAGTGGATGATGAATAGGGTTGCAAGGGGCACAAAGTAAGGAATTCTTTAATCCGATTTTTAACGGAGCTGATGTTTACGTTTATCGGTGAAGAATAGATTTGATTGAGGTCGCTCAGGGAACGCAGACTGGTTCGAGTAATGTACTGGGAAAAGTCGAGGGTACCTGTGCAACTCAGAGGAAGGTCCAGACGATGATACCATAAATTTTGTTCATGATAGTAAAGCTCCTTAAGTTTATCGTAGAGAGTAGACCGAACTCTCAGAGCTTGCCCGATTTTGTGGCTAAAAATACATGTAGGCGGGCTTGAGTATCCAATAAACAAAAAAATAGTGCCGATTTCACGTGTCAATAATTAAATTAAATAAAGCATGTCACATGCTATGCATCATGACAGATATTGCAGTAAAATTACAACTTCTCTATAGTTTTAGCATTAGTTGTTCCCCATGACCCGGGAATGCTTGCAGGAAACAGATGTCCAAATTTGAGAGTCCCCAACGGATCCTCATTATAAAATGGCAAACTATGGAAAGGAGGAGGCATTTTCCTCCGCCTTCTTTGACGATCACGAGCTGGTTGCTTCTGAATAACAGCAGTTGTATGAAGGCTTCTAGGAAAAGTGCCTTGAAAACACAAACGATACGACAACATGCCACCCAACCCCAAAAGGGCAACGCCTCGAGTATTTGAAAGCTCGCTTCTTAGCGTAGTAGCAAAAGTGCAATGGTTTTTGATATGCAATAATGAAGCAACTCAGAGCCGTAGGTATGCATGTGAAAAACTCTTTAATAAGGTATTCACAAACGATGCAATTTCGATTGGAGAATCTAACATTTAAAATTGATAAACTAAAATTAAATTGTAATCAAATTAAAATTTAATTTGGTGCACTATTTTGGTCATGAATTTATGGTCCTAGCATGTGTAGTGTTGCAAGACTTCCCATAGGATGGAAGAAGTCAGTAACCGAGGCTGGATACATGTATTGCGAAGAAAACAGGACAAATGTGCCTGAGCGTGGATCGAAGGCCAGCCCACGAGTACAAAGGCCAGCCATATCCTAGGAATGACCGCTAAACGCCATGTGGTCGCATAAACGAAGCATTGCTGCACGCACGATAAAATTCATTCAAGGAGGACGATAGATCAGACCTTGGCCCCTCTTGAGCTAGATAACTACCAAAGTCACAATTACTCATACAAACTGCCAAATATATAGTGTCCTTTAGTGCACTGTAGCATTTATAACCTCCACACAGTACTTAGTTTATTTGGCCACCCGTAAGGTGGACAGTCATTTAGGTGCTCATCTTGCCCTTGGTTGAGATAGCTGGCCTTCGGGCCGAGCTGGAGCCTCTGCTTACATGATCACCTGATGTTTTGTGGTTTCTTTGTACGCACGGACTGACCTCTTTCTTCCTTCTTTTAGGAACATGTGTATTCGGCCCAACGTGGTTGGAAGTCTCAGACGCTCACCCTTGCACTTTTTCTTGAAATAAAAGTATTCGTTTATGTATAGTGTTTCATACTACTCGATTGAGTGCATATATTCCGACAGTCCACCCAAAAAGGGCAAGTTGGTTGCCAAAGTTGAATTAACAAAGCACTATACAGGCAGCGGACCACGAACAATATCTTAATCCGAAGTCTGTACTCACGGCACATAAGACCTCTACGATTTTTACGCTTACGACACCTTCGTGACGGGCTTAACATCAATAGTCCATAGCCATATGGCAGAACCTGCGTTGTCATTTTACGAAGTAGCTAGGACATTATTAATATGGTCCGTGGAACAGATTGCTCTGTGATTAGGCAACTTAGAATTTCTCGTGTGCTTCAAAAACCACAGTATAAATGTACCGAAATTATAAAGAAAATTACCAGATATGGTGTGTAGCGTCCCGAGACTTCCCATAGGATGAAAGAAGGCATAAGTGAGGTTGAATACATGTATTCCGAAGACGACAGGGCTGACGGGGCCTCAGCGTGGCCCGAAGGTCAGCCCTGTGTACAGGGGCCAGACAAACTCTAAAGTGCTCGCCTAACGTCATGGTGTAAGATTAACTTGAGGCATCGAAATGCGATTTGTTTTGTAAGTAGACAAGTTGCCTCGAGTGTAAGTGCGCTATTCGCACACTCCTCCAAGCCAAGATTTTGACTTCCATGTTGGTATAAAACTCTCCCATTCCTAAAATGTCTACGGAATTTTACTATAAATATCACTCACTACGTGTGCAACGTAGTGGAATGCAGCATAGTAGTGCTGGAACCTTTTAAGACGAGTGTAGTCCTTTGAGACTCCCGTCAGATAGTAGTGTACAATATTTGGGCGGACACATATTCAGAGGCAAAGGAAAGGGATGGAGATTTTGGTGTGGTTTATGAGCTAGCCCGGCCAGCAGAATCCCTGCTATGCTTAAAGTCCTCACTGCCACCGGTAATCGGACGGACAGGGCATTAGCCTCCCAACACTTTCCACCAAGCAGAAGGCATCACGTTGGGCTGACTACATGTACCACAGGGGAGAAGATGGGATTAAGCTTTGGCTTGGTCCAAAAGTCAGCCCACGCCTACAAGGACCAGACGTGTACCAAAGAGTTCGCCAGTATTACAGATACATCTACACTTTTGCGGATTTACCATGTTTAAAGAGATATTTATGGTTGAGACAGCACTCCTTTGGACTTAATTAAAAGAAAATAAATAACAACAACTATTTGCCTCGGAAGTCAGACATCAGAAGTATGAGATGTCGCCCGACTTAAAACGCGGTAATGTTGAGATACAGGTCAACTCCGAACCAAATAAATAATTTTTTCATCGACTTCTAGCCAAATTATAATTATGGAGTTCATAATAATGATTTCATGTACAGCCTTCCATATGCACCATAATTCTGGTAAAAGTGAGCATGCAATCCATCAAGTTTGCATTCAGAGGCGTTGAGGACAGAGAATCCACTAAGAACTACCCTGACGCGCACAACCCGCAAACTATCCGAAGGAGCTCTAAAAAGATCTCATTCGCGCCCACTTGCAACGTCGATTGGTTCATAGTGGAAACGATGTCGCCAATCTGAGAGAAAGAGGACAATTATGGTAATTAAAACCTGCTATATTGAGTAGAAAGGAGGCATAAGAAAGTCCCACAGAGACCGGGACAAAATGCCTTCGCCTATGCAAGTGTGTGTGTGATTACCCGTAGGCCTTACAGTCAGTTTGCCATTCGTCCCGCGGGGTCAATCCCTTCTCCTCCAAGAATGCGGGCATTCAGTCAAACTTAATGTCCTCTCCTAGGTGGTGGAAAGACTTGGAGCGCCACAGTTGAATTCGTAGAAAAATGTACAAGCCAACCGACAGCATAAGTGAACCACATACACCTGTTGGATTCCTAAACATGTGGGCAATTCTAGTCTCGCAGAATTTGGTCACCGAAAATACCCATAGGATCTCGACAGCTTCGCCATCGTTAGCTATCTCTAAATCCATTTAAACACTTTGAGAAGCATTCGTTTTTGGTTGTACTGTTTATTCAAATATCAGTATGACTTACGTTCACTGGCAGTCTTCTGGTTTTTGCTATGTAGGATCTCCTTCGAGTTAAGCTAAAGCCCCACGCCTCCTCTTGTAACACAAGTATGCAACCCTACATAGTACCTTATCCTACTCAATGGATGTGGCGTCCAAAGACTTCCCACCGAGTAGAAGAAGACATTGAGTGAAGCTGAACACATGTATTCCAGAGAAAACAAAGGAACTGGGCCTTAACCTGACCCGACAGCCAAACCACACATATAACTACCAGGCGAATCTCAAAGTAATCGCCAAATATCAGGTGATCACACAAACAAAGCATCAAAATGGAAGTTTTGAAAATAACAGCTTCTGATCTAACAATGTTATATTGCCATTCGCGCTGTTTGTTTTCATTGCAAAGCGGGATTTTGGGGCAGTCTAGGGGAAATCCATTCGGCCAAGATTAAGATGGTCCAGATGACTGTTTTTCTTGATTTCTTCATGAGTTGACCAAGTCAGTGAATAAAAACAAGATTTTAGAGGAAAGGTTTATGCTTCCGCAAATTAAAACTAGCAGTTTAATAACAGAAGATTATTTTGAAAAGGTGTCGCAAATCCAACAGAGGGTAAAGTTGATTGGTGCATTCGAGCCACGGTTGGGTAGCTGATTGGTCTGTGGGGTACTGTCCTTATTGATAGGCTTAATTTACTCGTTTCATTAGCTCAGTCGAGTTGGCCGATTTGCTGTGTGAGGCTCGGCCCACCGATTTACATTTGATCCGGCGCTCGTCCGTTTTACTGATTTTAAGCTGATAGGCGCAGCTTTCAGTCTGCCTCGTGAGGGTCGGTTCCCTCCTATAACCTTGGTTGTAATGAGATAGCTTCCATTCTCGCAAGTTGAGTGAAAATGAGCATTGCAACGTTGGCGTTGGCGATTTTAACAGTAGCCTGCATTTCATTCACCTTCGGCGGTGCTCCCATCGTGATGTTAGCTGGTGCAACAGCTAACCTAGAAAGTTGCACCGCCTTCTTGGCGGAGAGCCTTCCTGAAGGACTTGCCTACCCATCCTCCGCACCTAGTTTTATTTCTACTGTCTTCGCCTGGAATTCACTGCTCTACAATGCGCGGAGAAATGTCTCGATCGCGTCCTTTTACTGGTCGATGCTTCGTGAAGACGTATATAACTCGTCGTCTGCCTATCAGGTTAGCACTGATTTCGATACTGCAAAACGTTGCCTATCGTAGCCATGTCTGAATGCTCATGGAATATGTAGTGGTTTGCAAATGCCAAATTGTTCCTATTAGCCTACCGTGGCGAGACATTTGGAATCCAGTTCAGATGTGACCCTTCATATATCTTCTCTCCTGCCTTTCATCTCATGAATGGGATGCAATGACCTAGGCTGAGTCAAGCATGTTTCTTCTTAGGGTGAATGTATATTTCAAAAATTGCTGACTAAGAGTGGAGACATCGACGTCAGAATAGTCACAAGTGCTCCACAAAGTTCTAACAATGATTTGGACAGCCTAATTGCGGCAGGTGATGCAGCATAGCTTATGGATTTAGAATTTTAGTTACTCGCTATATTTTCATTGTAATTGTCAGATTCTCTTTCGCTTTTAAGGAGCAAAAGTAAGGTATTTGAATATGGCTAAATTGCTCTCAGCGGGCGTCCAACATGCCAAACTTTGGGCAATTGACAATTTACACGGTTACATTGGCAGTGCAAATATGGATTGGAGGTCCTTGACTCAGGTATTTGAAAGCAACAAAAACATCACTAACACAAATTTATTCGTTAATCTATTGATAGGCTATTTGTTCACTTTTCAGGTGAAGGAGATTGGTGTGCTGTTAAGATTTTGCCGAACTCTCACAACAGATCTAGCCAAATTAATTGGCGCTCTTGATTATGTCGCACGATCTGACATTGTCTTTCCGATTAACTGGAGTCCAGAATACACAACCATCTATAACCGATCAAATCCCATGCGCTTAACGATGAATGGAATACCTGCGGAGGTCTATGTTTCCGTGAGTTGAGAAAGCAGCATGCAATCTTATCCTTTCAACTGAGTAATCGTGAATCTTCTTTGCCACGAAAGTAGCTGGTGCCTCAAAGTTTGTCGTAAAGACGCGCCACATGAGCATTCAATGGCGTAGTTGTATCTTATAGATGTCACCTCCACCGCTTAGACCGACGGGCCGCGAGGACGACTTAGAAGCTATCCTTCATGTGATCGACTCTGCGGGTTTCTTTATCTACATTTCTGTTATGGACTTTCAACCAATCGTTGACTCTTATACAAGCAAACCTTACAAGTGCGATTTTCTTATTTAAAGTTGGTCAAGATTGTCGATGCTTTTACCTTCGTTGTATCCAAACATGTTCTGCCTTGCTTAACTAGAAATCATTTTGCATGCCTCAAATTACCTGCTCATTTGTCACAATTTCGTTTAGGTACTGGCCTGCGTTGACAGATGCGCTTGTAAAGGCTTCCATGGAGAACAATGTGGAAGTTCGCATCCTCGTGAGCCGATGGGATCACACCTCATCGAATCAGCGTCAATACATGGAATCCCTTCGCGCCTTAGATGGAGCCAACGGAGTCAGAATCAGAATTGTGTGTTTCTACAGCTAAATGTAGCTAAGTATTATTTGCTTTTAGCCTACTTACCGTAGTGCGCTTCACCTCCACAGCGATTCTTTGTGGTGCCTTCAGTGACACCGGAGCAGAAGGCCATTCCGTTCGCAAGAGTGAACCACGGCAAATATATGGTTACTGATAAGACTCTCTATATTGGTGGGTTCAAACGACTGCAGTGACATTATAGATGCAGGTTGTGCATAACCATTCTGTTGATTTTTGGCCAAAGGCACGTCGAATTGGTCAGGGGATTACTTCAAATACAGCGGAGGCGCAGGTCTTGTCATCGCTGGTGAAGGTGATATAGTGGGTCCCAATGGGGAAAAGCCACTGCGCCGACAGATGGAGGAAGCCTTCCTTCGCGACTGGAATTCCATGTTTACTGATGACTTGTGATTGAAACTGTCTACTGGTAGCTGGTCATTGTTGTTTCAATGTACACTTTTTCAAGTAAATGATTTGGTGAACTTCCTTGAGGCTGTTACTGAACGTGAAAAATCACTTTCACATTTGGAATTTGACTTGAACTGCATCGATGTTTTTTTTTTGCTTTTCTAGTCCAGTTCTTTGGTATCAAGAACTATTTTTCGTGTTTGCTACACCGATTGCAATTAGTCGTATTTTCAGTTGACAACGGGATGATGACTTCACAGCCATGTCAATTGGACAATTAGGAAGAGGAATCGGGACCACCTGGAAGGCTAGGACAACTGCGTTGTCTCAACAATAGTATGCAGTTCATTGAGTAAAACACTTAACTGGGTGATTGACTTAAGGTAAGGCGTTCAAATAGTTGCGGTTTTATGTGGCTAACCGAACACATGAGATGCTAGTTATCGAGCCATTGAAGTCATCGAGTACAGACTTTAAAACTGTGTGAGTTTGGTTGGTCCTATGGTTGATTGACAGCTTCGACGTTGTAATAGGTTTTGATTCCTGTCAACCGTCTCACCTCGATAGTCCACGCGCACGCTGAAACGGATCTGATAAGCAGAAATCAAATCTCCAGCTTCGAGTACACCGTGAGAGGAAGTTTTCCAAAGTTCACAACATTTAAAGTCAGCTGATTCTGGTTGCATTGTTTAGATCGATTGGTGTAGGAAGAGGGTAAAGGCAGAAGAGGACTTTGTGAGGAAACATCATGTATCAGAACTCAAGGCGTCTACCGCCACTAGCAATTGACTATGGTAACACCCACTGTCGGTGTGCCATCTATGATCCCATCACTGAGGAAGTAACTATATTTACGGATTCCAGTGTCAGTGAATATCCATGTAGGTGCATTCATAGTTATGTTGCCTTCAATACCGATCCGCCTCTTGTTGGGAATTTAGCTCACGCGGAGGTAATAAGGGATCCGAAAAACGGTGTTTGTTCGATAAAACGCCTTCTTGGCAGACGTCCATCCGATGTGGCAAGACTTACTGGTGGGCTTTGCTGTCAATTCAGCGCTTGCTCTAACGGGAGGAGTGAATATTTGAAGTGCCATGACAACCAGTACCTAATTGAGGAGATTGCTGCAATGCTATTGAGTCGGCTGCGTGAGATGGCCGAAGAAAGGATGGAGCGTCGTGTGGACACGACATTTATCACAGTGCCTGCCTTCTTCAACGATGCTCAACGAGAAGCCATTGTAAATGCTGCTGAGATCGCAGGCTTTTACAAAGTGCATCTCCTTAATGAGACTACAGCAGCATCGATTGCCTACGCCACTTGCAATGCTGCACCTATGAAAGACCCTAAGAACGTGGTGTTCTATGATCTGGGAGGAGGTCATGTGAGTGCCTTGCTTTGTCGAATTACTTCCACACAATGTAGAGTGCTTGCAACTGCTGGAACCATAGCCATGGGTGGTGATAACTTCGACGAACGCATAGCAACAAAATTGGCCGAGGAGTTTGCAAGGTCACGTGGTATCGATGTGAGAGAAAATAAGCAAGACTTCATGCGTCTTCGAAATGCGTGTAAACGCGCAAAACACATTCTTAGTTATGAACAGAGTGCCACAATTAAGATCACAGGCTTGGGCTCTTCTCTTACTTTCTCCAGATCTCTTGCGCGGACCGAGTTGACGTCAATTTGTTGGGATCTTTTTGAAAGCGCCGTGAAGCCCGTTTCAGAAGTGTTAGAAATTGCAAACCTCTCTACGAATGATGTGGACGATGTAGTGATTCTTGGTGGGGCTTCTCGCATGCCTCAACTTCAAGTTCTCTTACGAAATATCTTCCACCAGAGGAAGCTAAATAAAGCCTTGCATAGTGAGGAGGCGGTTGTTGTAGGCGCAGCGATCTACGCTGCTCAAATGGCTAAATTATCTTCAAGCTTTTTAAAAGTTTGCGATGTCTTACCTCACGCTATCAGCATGGAGCAGTCAAAAGGCATTTGCCATACTCTTATAGGTCCTAACACACCTATTCCCTGCGTTGTTCGTGTTGTGCTACACAAGTCTCCGGCCTCTCTTGAATCACATCTGGAGGTCCGGCTGTATGAAGGTGAACGTGCATTGGCATCCGATAACCGGTACCTCGGAAGCTTTAAAGTCTCTAAATTCCAACCCCTCTTAAGCACTGCAACAGTTGAGTTGATTTTAACACCAAGTGGAATTCTCAAGGTGAAACAGTTAGATGAGCTTTTAGATGTGGAGAAAACGGGTCTAAGTGCTTCAATGAAAAGCACTGTAAAGAAGCGGTTCACCAATAAGGTAGGGGGTAAGGGAGGCGTGATGATGATGAAAGAGCGACGTAGATATTTGGAAAAGCTTGTCTGCAATCTACGATTGACTACACAGACACCAGACGTGCATCTGAATGGGGAGGAGCGAGACTACATTTACAGCTACGCCGCCTTCCTCTTCACTTGGCTCGCTAAGCACCAACGAACCACATTGACTGAAGTGGAGAACAAAATTAGGGAGGTGACAGAGATGACTAGCCTTGTTACCAGCAACTTTAGACCGTCACAATTATGGTCACCAATCTCGCCAAGGCAGAACTAACCGGGAAAGTTGAACCTTAATTGCGTGTCATGTCAGCTCAGTGGTCTTTCATTTGTGACTGATTTTTGTATAGATAAATCCTGAATTCGGTTGTTTTGAACAATAAATTTCAAATGATAGTTGGATATTTTTGCTTGTATCAAATTTGACTTCAAACAGACAACACAATGCTCTTCTCCGCCTCCCTTGGTAGTGCTGCTTCTCCCACTGAGTCATTTCCCATTGTGGATGAGGAGTGGAAGGGGACATAAGCGTCGCGAAGATGGAAGTGAAATCTGCAACCAGGCTTAATGGTTAAATGCGCATTGTAATACCTACCTTCTCGCATTCCAATTTCGAAAGGGGCAAAACTTGATATTGAATAAAAGATGTTGACGGGATCTCAGCTAGACTGTTGGCTAAAAATGCATTCGACAATTCAGGAGTTACAAGGAGCTTACTTTGTAGTAGCTTATTAAGGTGGAGAAGCACGATAAAAGACCAATAAGTCACATTAGAAGTATTTGAATACAGTGCAGCTGGAGTCACAAGTCTTTGCTGGACATGCGCATCAATTATAGTGGATTCTCATTGTATAATTCGAGTTGCCGGAATGCTGTTAATGAGGCGCAAAGTCGTCCTCCGACTTTGTTACTGAAGTTCGAAATCTCTTGTGCTACATCTATGTAGTAATGAAGACGATGGCTGTCGTAGTTGATGTAAGATGCGTTCACAATTTTGACTCAAAATGTGGAAGTATTAAGACATGTATACCCTTAGATCATTTGCAAAGGGAACAGAAAGGGAGGATGTTCTGGAAGCTTAAGTACACCAATGAAGGTAAATGGCGAAGCAAATAAATTGAGGCACATAAACCGACCTCATTTTATTTTGCAAGCCCGGTAACATTAATTTTGGACAGTTTATTTGACCTCGAAGACGATTGATTAGATCACGTGATCGATGGGTGACAGCGACATTGCATTGTCTCTCGCACATATTGCCTTTGGACAAACAAATGAATAGATTTATTGCTAATGAATTCACCAGTGGCCATAGATTTGGGTGACAGTTTTTGTCGCGTGAGCCTCTACAAACCTCACGAAGGTAGAGTAACGATAGTTCCCGATTTCGAGGGTTACAGCTACTGTTGCTACTCGATTCCCAGTTATGTGGCCTTTGTAAATAATGCCAGATTAGTGGGCACCACTGCACGCATGCAGTTAGTACGGTTGCCGCAGCAAACCATTAGTAGGACGAAGGGCCTCCTGGGTAAACCATTTATTGAAATAGAGGAACAACTCAACAACATTACCTTCCAAGTCACTCCAGACGCCGGCAACTTTGGTCGTCCATTAATCAATGGTCAGTTCTACGCTGAGGAAATAACTGCTGTTTTGGTGAACAAAATGAGGGAAATAATTACACATACGGCTAAACAGGCGGTGAAAGATGTGGTCATCACCGTTCCTGCCTGTTTCAAGGATGCCCAACGCCAAGCCACAATCGATGCGGCTGAAATTGCAGGAGTACGGGTGGCAGCCATGTTGAATGAGACAACGGCGGCTGCTATTGCTTATGCATTGAGTACCATGGAAAAGACAATGAATGTACTCTTTTATGATTTTGGTGGAGGACACGTCTCTGTTGCAGTCGCAAGCGTCAGTAAGTGCGAGGTGCGAATTTTGGGCAGTGCGGGTAATGAGAAAGCGAGTGGAAACGGGATTTCTGATCGTTTTACCGCCTCTGTGGCTGAAGTGATTGTCAAAAAATACAAACAAGATTCGTTTTTGAATAGGAGGGCGTACAATTTGCTCCGTATCATTTGTGAACGCAGTAAACGCGAGCTGAGTTCAAATCTAGAATCCGAATTGACTATTCGAGGCGTCCTACCTGACCTCACAGTCCGGATAGTTATTACGAGGAGTCAATTTGAAGATGCGTGTAAGGACATTTTTGAGACCGCCATGGAGCCCATTGATGAGGCTCTCCAACTGGCTGGCCTCAAGATTGATGATATCGAAGATGTGGTCATACTTGGGGGTTCTGCACGAATACCCAAGATAGACTTACTTCTCCGCGAGAAATTCCACAAAAGACAACTTAACAAAAGATTTCATTCTGAAGAAACTGTCGTCTACGGAGCAGCAATGTATGCTGCACAGTTATCAAGAATAGTGCCGCGAGTGATCCGTGTCTATGATGTTACCAACCACACAATTGGAGTGGAACAACCCCACGGCGTATTGTCGCCCATTATTCCCCGAAACACATCCCTTCCGTGCACGATTCGACGCAACTTTACCGCTATACAAGGCAGCGATCAATCTCACCTAACTCTACGACTTTACGAGGGTGTACATGCTAAAACAGCAGAAAACACATTCCTAGGATCACTCGACATCGTTGGATTGTTCCCAACACTTGGCGACATCCATGACGTTTCACTTGATTTCGAAATCGAAAGAAATGGAATTCTAAAGACCACGCAACTTCTTGACCAGCGGTTACATCACATTAAGCACATAGATATTAGGAAGCCGTGCCTTTCAACCGATTTTAAACACGTTGCATGTAGGGAGTTTGCAAGATCGTTAACCGGAGACACTCAAATGCGAAGGCTACTCGAACATCGTCGTTATCTTGAGTTTTTTGCCTACCTACTTCGCGCAGCGATAGGTGCTAAGACATTGGACCTTCGCGAAGAGGAAGTACGATGTCTACTCAATGAGAGTGAAGCCAGTTTGAGATGGTTGAGGTCTAACCCAAGAGCCCAGCTCGAAGAAACGGACGCGAAGATCACGTCGGTGCAAGATGCGATTGCAGCCAATTTAAGATGCACAATAGAAGAGATTGTGTACCATTCTCTCCATTTCACGGAAGCTGAAGGTACTACCAAATACCTTCCCACGGATAGTGATTTTGACACGCTAAACAAATAAAATTATTGATAGAGGCGACTATTTGAACAAAGCTCTTGCTTTGCACTTTGTCTACGTAACCAAAGTATGGAACTTAATATCAATTAAATATATGATTGAATTGAAGCTCACAAACAGCAATCTTTCTCCAGCCTTAGGTGGAGCAGTTAGATGAAGCCATAGAAATAACAGTTCTGGGGTTCCAGTCGTATTTCTGGAATACGTTCATTCTAGCACCCAGGGACGTCCTAGTAGCTAGAAAGTAGCATTAAAATGGGCTAATCAACGAGCAAAAGTGCACAACGAATATAAAATTTGTAGTACTTTGTTTATGTGACCAAATGACATTAGGCGGTAACTTTAGGATTGATCTAGCCCTTGTACGTGTAGGTTGACATTCAGACCATGCCCAGGTCCATTTGCCCTATCGTCTTAGGAGTACATGTATCCAACTGAGCTTACTGACTTCTTATTACCGGCCAGGAAGTCTCTGGAACGCTACTAAGTTAGTCGTCAGAAGTACCTATAGCTATGAAAAAAGATCCACGTCACGGGAAAGCTGCTTCACGCCGTTCCAGCAGGATCAACATGCACACCAGCCCAATAACGAACAAAGAATTAAAGGAGGTACTTGAAATTGACAACAACCAAAAGGCGGCATATAATAAAACAAACAGAAACCGCATTGGAATTTTAGGCATCGCAAAAAAAAAATTGCTCGAAAACAAATCGAACAGAAGCTATTGACTACCTGTGAAAATAGATAAAGTGCTTCAAATCTGTAAAAATTTAAACAGAAAAGCAGCATACTCTAACAAACAAAAAATTAAAGGCGATAAATAAATTGCAAAAAAAATTTTTATACAAAATTTATATTTAAAAATTTGTTTTACTACTTAGATTTTGTAGCGCTGCATATTGATGACAGCTCCCACGCGAAGGTTAGTGAGGGAACCATTTCGCGGCGTGGCGTTAATTATCGGCAAATTTATGCACGTGTGATAAACTGCTGCATATAATTGGGTTCGACCGTGGATTGGATTGGGAATTATTGCGTGTTGTCAGAGAAAAGCTCATCTCTTTAAGTTTAGATCAAAGTTAATATTTGTGTTTAATGAATAAGCCTCGGTAAATTCGCCTTGAGGCGAGGAAACTATAAGGTTTATAAAATCTTCCATTTTTAGCTTAGGCCGCGTCAATGGGCAAAATTATGTCAGAAGAGGGTAATCAGAAGTCATTTCCTGTTCAAGGCAAAAACGGCGCCGGTAATACGCATGGACAGAGCAAGGCTACTACAAGATGCGTGCCTGCTACGATGCAGAAAAAAAGAAGATTTGGTAAAACAAAAGAACATGAGAATGAAGTTTCGAACAATTATCTTTCTGAGGGTGAACCTCCGCGCAAAAAACAGGCATTTTATTCCCCGGAGATAGGATGTGGTGAAGGAACAACAAAATTAGTACCTCATCTAGAAAAACCGGAACCAAAGAACTACGGAATGGGGATTCAAGAATCAACAAAATGTCGAAGATATTTAGCAAAAAGGCGGAAAATTGAAGAACATAATGTAGAAAAAGAGGACAAGGAAAAATTTCCTCAAAGAAAAGGTACTAACGTCAGAAAAGTCACGGGAAACCTACGAGAGAATAACAAAAGCACACAAAACGAAGGCTCATTCAAGTCAGTAAACTTTCACATGAGGTCAAAAAGTAAAGGAAATTCAACACAAAAAGCTTGTATTCAAAAAAGGGCAAAGAAGGAGGGCAGTGAGTCGTCGGACTCCAGTTCGGAGGAGGAGAGCGTGGTGAGGAAGCCGGTTGAAGTTGTGTCGAAGAATGCAGT